CAAGAAATTCAAAAAGTCTGAGAAAATGTAGAGCCCACAGAACATCCACAGCTGGATCAGAATGATAATGACGACTTCACATGGTGTAGGTGGTGAATATTAGGCTGATTGATTGAGGATTCACAGTTACTTTGCATGGAAACCAGCCTCAATGTCTTATGAGGTACTGGCAGATCAAAAGCTTGCCAACTATAATAGCGGCCAATCTTGGGCGGAAACTGCATGGCTTGGTACTTTGATGACCTGCAATTAAAACCTGTTGGAGAGGAGACTCATCACGAAAAATGCCATTCCTGTATTTCTGCATCATTTTGTAGACCAGCGTGAGAATCAAAACCCCGGAGGTGACGGTTAGCGTACTCCAGGAGCTGGTACGACGGGGCGTCATCAAGAGGGCCCTGGCAGGCCGGGACGAGAAGTGGCTACGTATCATGATCGCCTTCCTGAAGAAGCACATCACCAATCCCAACTTTGCCGGCACGGTGATCGACATAACCAACATGTTGCTAGGTGAGCCGATTCTTCTTCATATTGGGCAAGGGGTGTCCCTTGCCAAGGGGCGAGGTTTGGCTAGGCTTGTCAGCAGAGCGTTACCCTTTTTAACCTTCCGAAAGTCTTTAAACTCCACCGTCTCCACTACTGGGATATTTTGTTTATTTGTCGTCATTGACTTGAGTTTTCATCAGAAATATTTAAACTCATTGGAATTTTCTTCCCACACCATTTTCTTCACCATGGAAGCTTTGCTTGTAGCCGTGAATATGAAACATAGCATACAAGGTCTCAATAGAAGCACAGAAGTGTATGTTTCTGTTGATTGATAGCTCAATCTTGTACAGTGCCCACTTTTATGTATCTTTACGTGCACTTGAATAAGGGATTACATGAATGATAACTGAAATTGTACACTGGAGTCATGTTGTTGATTTGACTACTTCCTGTTGGTGGCCGGTGCATAAGTTGTCATTTCTGGGAAATAAAAGCCACACTGTCAATGTTAGTGAACTAACAGTCTTTTGCTGACTCAAGTCTGATTTTCAACAAGTGTTAAAGCAATTGGGATCTCTTATATCAAGAAGCAAGTTGACCCCAGTTCTGATCTGTTTCTTCTGTCTCAAGTAAAAATTATGAATAAACGTATGCCCAACTACATGTATACAAGGAATTCAGTTGATCATTCACACACACTTAACCCCTTGACGACGGGAATTTCTTTCCGAAAGCCGACTCAGAGAATTTCAGCCTCGCTTGGCCACGAAGGCCACCTGCCAAATGGCAAATTCTCGGTTTGTGGCCCTGCATGCTCTGCGCGCTTTGAATTAAATGGTGAAAAGGCTTATTGTTCAGTGGCATGCGGCTCTACTTAAGCTTCCACATTCCCATTGCTTCTTTTCAAAGTGAGGACTATTGTGAAGCTGGTGATTATGATGCAAATTCGGTCTTTTCATTTCTGGGCTACACACAATGGCCAATTACCATATATACAAGAACCAGGGTCTGCCTTCTTTCACCGTGTTTGCTCGAGCATGGGCCGAGAATAATAGCTGAAAAGCGGGCTGAGGATCTCAATTTTTACTGCAGCTCTAGCCCCTTCTAGGCGCGAAGGGGTTAAAGGTGTGTTCATACGTAAAGCAAATGTGAAGATGAAGCAAACTTGCCGTAAATTTGCTGCACTTTCGCTTGAGTTTAAACGTGTTAACTTTTTGTGAATTTGCAGTGCCATTATAAAATAGCATTCATGTTGGGTTTCACACCTAGTACGAAGCGGTCTTCAAGTGAATTCAAAAGTCTGACTGATGGTGTCTTGAGATTTATACCACTTGTTTAAAATCCCAGCATTTGAGATAGAAACCAACTTGCGTCCCTCCCTTCTTCCTTGACATATTTCAGACATCTACACCCCAGTCATCGGGGAGTCAGAGGAGCTGGTCAGTCACTTCAGGAGGCTGAAGATAACGCTGGACAAGGAGCTGCAGTATCACCGGACCCTGCAAGAGATCAAGGGAATGCTGGACACAGTACTGGCCGCATCACAGACTGTCGATCACGGCACTCGGGAAGACTTGGCCGCGGCCAACACTGAGATTCCCACCGAAAGAACTGAAAGAAGTGGAATGGCTGTACCTATGGAGTCGTAGCGATTGGAATTTGAACCATCAGCACTTGGAGCAGTAGGGCCGTACCAACATCAAGTATTCGAATATTTATTATTGGAATCAATTATTTGAAAGTGAAATATACGGAAAATAAATTTGAAAAAAGTTCAATTCTTAGGTAACAAGACTTCATTCTAAAACCTCAGTTCAAGGTAAGTGCGGATAAACCCTTGTTTTATGACCCGACTTTCTGTCGGCGACTTGAAAAAGCAGTTGACTTCCGCCCTCATAAATCCTCAACATTTTTCATGTCAGCAATTTTTAACATTGACTGCCGTTTGTGCATGATTTCCTGTCTTCATGTACAATCACTACTTTCGAAAGCTATTTCACCGTTTTCCCGATGTCTTCTGAATGTTTCGGGAAGTTTGTATTTATACAACCAAATATTCCGTCAAATGAATGGTCAAGTATTTGAATGCTAAATTATCCGAACTGACTCAGCCCTGTGGCGCACGTGGTGGTGTTCACGTCAGGACTTGTATGCCACATTTTCATTTGGATGGAGCCCTGACTGTACAATGCCAGTAAGGCCTGTCAACCCACCTGGACACTGGAGATCCCTACTGACAGCCGTTACATCATAGTTCCAAGTGACGTGTCATTTGACGTGGTTTCAAGCTCTTCATTTTAATTAATACCCAACTTCACCAAATCCCAAATCGTCTAAAATATCAGCTCAGACATTGAGATTCGTGTTTGAAATCCCCACTGGTGTGTTCAATCCTTGAACATTCATCGGTGCTCCAATTTCAACCCTAGCAGTCCTTAATCCTTCAACCGGTGAAGGATCGAAGACTGTCAAGGTCAGTGGAATTGTTCCCATGCTCTAGCAGGATAGCATTACTGTAGTGATTTGCAATGAATATTCACCTTTATGTAACCTGCAATTTTCAACAAGTGCGATAGGGTTCTTTCGTCAAACACATCCCAGGGCATGTCTGTTTTTCTGTGGCTGAATTGCAGAGACATTTTACACCTTCTCTGCCACGGAATGTGGGAAAAAACTGCTTTCCAGGACATATGCCCGTACAAGGTGTGTAATTTTATCTTATCTTACCTTGTTTTGGGCAACATGCCGATAATGGCAAAATTTACCTTCCAGGTTGGTATTGGAAATTTTTAGTACCTGTTCTAGAAATGTTTCCCAAATTTTACCCTGCTGGGAACAACCTGTGATCAATCTCTGTCATTCCAATCTCAAACTGCCTACCTTTGCAAGTGGTCAATTGATATTTCCTTGCTGGTTGGATCTACGCGTTCAAGACCACTATCAGTTTGTCAGTTCAATTTTTATGTAAGATGAACTTCAAATTTGCTGAATGAAGTGAATAAAATGGACAGTGGTATTTATACACATAACTCGCCGATTTGCTCTCTTTACTCAGAGGAAATGGTCGTACTACAGGTCCTTGCAGGAGGGATCAAATTGATTTTTCACCCTAGCTTTTTTGACATTCTGGCAGTAGAAAGAAGTGTTAATATCTTATAATCTTGACGCATTTGTGCATTGGCAGAAACATGTTGAGTTGTTTGGTAAGGGAGGGGGTTCAGACAATGTGAAAGCCAATTAGCCAAGCAATATTACTACATGAGGAATAGCCTAAATTTAACATTAAGGCAACCCCAAAATAGAGAGACATTGCCCCTATTTGTCTAACAAGAATTGTATTTTTCCAAAATTGCACATTAACTTTACCACATCATAAGATCGGTTTACGGCTGTTATAGAATGATTACATGGAAGTTATCAGGCTAATTGTATTTCACAAAAGCAATTTACAAAGTGGCAGGTGGCGCCTCTGTGGTATATGTTCATGGATGTTTTTAGTTTTCCCTACTTTGCCTGATAAGCTTAATATACTGGGTGCTGAAGCCAAGTTTCCCTACCATGTTGTCAACCATGTATTTTGATGCTAAGAACAAGGCCAGGACAAAAAGGAGAAAGTCTGTCCCATCTTGATTGACAGGCCTGAGAGACTCCCAACTCCAAGATTCAAACCGAAAATTTAAAAAAAAAACGGCCAAAATGGTGGCAGCTGGGTCTGTCACCTCGTCTTCTTGATAGCCAGCAGAACCAAATTCCTGGGTGACAGTAGTGGGTCGAAGATTGGCACCAGACTGCTCTCTATACCTGCGCATGAGTGGAATCAAAATGGGAAGAGATCAAATGCTATTCCCGACATCTTATGAATCTGGGTATTTATTTCTATCCAAGATTTGCAATGTGGATTCATGCTATGGCATGGCAGAGTTTAACGTTCTTATCAAGAGATTTAATTTCACTTTACTCTTTTTTCTTGATTATATTTTGTCATTGTCACCAATCCTAACCGACATTCTAACATTTGTGATCAATTGCACCTTTTTAGCTATCGACTACTATCAACTGATTTCTCCCTTAACTTTTATTGGCGCAATCTGCCCCTAAGATCTTGGCTGACCCATGTACAGTCTTTTTGAAATTTGGAATACTGTAACACATTCACTACAGGTAACTAAAAGTGCAGTTAAATCTGAAATAGGCACAGGGTCACATTTTCTGGTCAGCCCAAGTGCATTGAGCATTATGGGCAACAAGTCTTGGTAAAATAGGCAATTCACATGTAAGATAAAACTAGAAAATCTTCCAAAGGCTCGGAACGTAAAAACGAAACGCACTGAAGTAATATTGGAGAAACTGTTTGGAGCCACGCCCTGGATTCTTTTAGGGTTATTGATCCCTAAAGTTGAAACATGACGGACGTGTTACATGTATTAATGGTTCCTGTAGGATTTGGTAGGATCTAGGAAGAGGATGAATCTGTAAGGTCCAGGAAGATGCCTAGAGACAAACACAGGGGGCAAAGGTTAAGGGAATTCAGGGACCTTTATCCAAGAGGAATAAAGCTCTGTCTAGCAGGACCAGGCTCTCTACAACGGGGGCCATCAGCTGGCGTAGGCTGTGGTAGGTCAGAAGGTTGTGCCACCGGGGTAGGACAGTCTCACCGACTGCATGAATCCTGTCAGGGTCGCTCTGTAAGCCCAGCCTGCCGAGGATGCTGGAGGCATACCTGTGTGAATAAGGCATAGAATTTTTGAAACTGATGTGAACATTTTGCAAGACTAAGAGATTTTTATGAGGTGTTCCCACAGAAATGCAGGATTGTTTGATTCTTGTCTGAAGATGCAAGTGGTTTTAACCACTTGCTGCCGGGTAGATTTTTCTTGAGCAAGACAATATGCTGGGTCCTTTTCAAGATTTTCCATTTTAAAAATTCTTCGAAAATTCATTAAATGGCCGTTTATACCTACATGAAGGACTCTTTGGGCACTACTCTAATGCTGACAGTTAACCTTCATTGACTTTTGAATATTTCAGCCAGGCCTGCAGCCTTGGAAAAAGAGCCCAGATTGTGCGGTGTTACGTAAGATTTTTGTTCCTGAAACCGGCACAGTGCACTGCTGACCTCTTTTCAATATGGGCCAGATTATCGTGCAGCGGTGCTGTGTGGCTCATCGCTGCGGTGGTGGAGGGCTTTTGTCCCCGGTGGTAATCCGCTCGCTCTAAATGCCTCAAACCGTGGTATTCTGTTTAAAAAAACAAGGCTGGATTATCTCCACTATTGAGAGTGAAAAAATATTGGTAATGCCCATCAGCTCAGTCTTTTGTGCTGAGCACGGTCTTTTGTTATAAGGCCCAACTCTTTTGTCCCAGTTCCAGGCTCCCCGGCTCTGCATATAAAGCCTATGTGCTCGAAAACGGGTCGCCCGGCAGGGAGTGGTTAATACCACTTGGGTCATAATAGAGGCCCCCCAAACAGAGCTAAGCAAAACTATGAGGCCAGCAAATCCTCAGGAATTTCCTGTCAACTGTAGGGAGTGCCCTGCAAAACCAGAAGAGAGTACTGAAAGTGATTCCATTTTGAAATGCAGGGTTGGAAACTGGCATTTTAACAACAGCTGTAAAAATCACATGAAGCATGCGAAGTCTTCATGAGGGTGTGCATCCCCAGTGAGGAGAACTCATATTTCCAGTGAAACTTTCCAAGTGTTTCTCCTGTACATTAGGAGATCGGAGAGCAATCGTGAGATTTACCATGGACTTCATTTACAAATTTCCAGATCTCTGGTGGTAAAGGTGCGAAAGTCACTCTTGCTGTTAACAAACCTCAGCATCATTCTCTCTCGTGCAGAGATTCAACACTTTTGTGCCCATTGAGTTGAAAACTGACATAAGGTACATGTACATGTTTTCTGAGCCACTGTAGGCCTGCGGTGTGTCCTTTATTGGCTATCATGACTACCACACACATACAGAGTCACCCACAAGCCCATTCAGAGACCGTGAATCTAACTCACTCCTCGAAGCTCTTCTGGTGGGCTCTCTTGATGCTGCTGACCCCCTTCCTGATCCTCCGTGCCCCCTCCTGGCTCCGGTTGAGGTCAGGGCACTGTTCTTGGATCAGGACCTCCAGGGCTGCCCGGTAACCCTGGGTGAGTAGGCTGGGATCACTGACTGAGGATGAGCGAGAAGAAAAAGAACCACTGTGACCCGTTTGATTCAAGAAATGGGTGGAATGAGACAGCTCAGCCTTCAGGTCAGATACAGAGGTGACAACTGAAAAAGTGTTGGCAATTCGTGGTCTTTTGTTGCCAGTGCGGTCTTTTGTTGCCAGTGCGGTCTTTTGTCACAAGGCCAAGCTCCTTTGTCCGATTTCGGTCACTCCGGCTTTGCATATGAAGCCAACGTCTCCAGTTGTGGGCACCCTAGCACGAAGTGGTTAAGCTGAAGAATGCATGAGTGCAGTGCCAGCACAGTTATGGCATCTTATCGGATTTGTCTATAAATGCAATATTGTTTGGAGGTTCTACTGTTGTTTGAGCCTGTTCTCTGATTGCACGGATTCCGTGTGAGGAAAAGAGGGTCAATATGAAATCCCTCTGTGCAAGGAATAAGGATAAGCTCTGTACAAACTTCCATATGCCCCAACCGAGCCTACAGTTTTGACCTGTGTTCATAGAAATCATTCACATTATGTTGTAAAGAGAAACATGAAATATTGGTGCACTCACCTTTTAACCTTGCTCGGTAACCCTCAATAAAATGACAGGCTAGCTCCAAGGGTTCAAAGCTTAGAGTTGAGCCCACTTTGTGACACAGAGATTGGACGTGCTTGCTCATAGGGAAGCCGAACGTCCAACTCTGAGGCACTTAGGCCCTTGGGCCGTGAGACTTTGTCGCTGCCTGAACTTTTGGCTGGAGGCTCTGAAGAACATGACTGGTCTAGGTTGGGACTTCCAGGATGATTTGGAGAGGAAAGGTTTGCTGCATCTCCGCAGCTGTGCGAAGGAAGTGTCACGGGCGAGTAATGACATTCGCAAGACTTGTCGCAGAAAGACATCCTCATATAGCAGCAGGCCACGGAAGCCAGGGCCACCGCTGGGGGGCACTCGGCAAACGTCCGCAGCATCGTCGGCCCCAGATCACCGCATGTGTGCAGCCCTGTCACTAAAAACGCCTCACTCTGGGAATGTTTCCCAGTTGGGTGACAGCTTGTCTCCCCTTGTGTCGCAGAGCAATCTTGGCAAGAACTGGGGATGGTACACCCATGAACAATTGATAAATCTGTACTGGAAGATGATTTATCTGATCTGACATTACCACTCTCTGCGGAATCCATCTTCAGTCTTTTGTTTGTGTATGCCTGTCTCCCTGTCTGGCAATCCTCCCTTGAAACAGCATGGGGCCCTCTATCATCCTGGTTGGATCGCGTGCGGGCGCTTATGACCGACAGGAACTCTTCCACTGTGATGTAGGGGTGGACGGTGCACACCACGTGGTGGGGTGATGCAATGCCCTCTGGTTTGACTACTCCGCTGGCTCTGGCCTTCTGCGGCAAGACAGTTAATTAAAACAGGAATTCAGAAACAAGGTCACTGACATCCAGAGTTGATAAGACAACAGTAGCACCCTGCATTCAGTGAGTAACAAAATGGCCACAACATCTGCTAAATGAAGATGCACAAATCACAAATGCACCTAATTGCTATCCGGTTCGTGACTTCGTCATACATGCACACGCACCACTGATTGCAAGCTTCCATTAGATGAACACTACAGTTGCGTGTTAACGTCCGGTTTCAAGGTTCCATGTGGCTCGACGTGCAGGGGTGTGGCTTAAACTGAAATGACGTCACACTTACAGACCAGATGAGGAATGCATTACGCACTGGATAGGGAGCTCCATGAACAATCTTTTCATGGTACACGGATATCAGCCTTTACCGAAGTGCATGATAGAATGTTCCCCACATGGGAAACATTTTTTCAATTATCATCGCAATGTACTCTTTTCATTGAGCCCCGCCTTTAGGAATGTTTTTGTTTTGGTGTCCTGCGGTACCTGTCACACAATTTTTGAAAACACAGGACCTGGTCCTCTCATAATTTACCCATTTTTCTGGGACAGATCAGCCAAGAGTGTTAATTTTTTTCCGCTTACATGACGTGCTTATTGACGGGGCTTGCACGAAAGTATGAGACTGTGAACTTTCCATTCCCACGAAAAAAAACAACTCTGTCTGTCGGACTGGATGCAAGTTTCACAGATACACTCATGTTTTTACACGAATGTCACGTTTCAAAAAGAAGCGAGAGTCTCATTCCTTCCATTGCAGGAAAAAAGGTATGGAAAAAACAGGCTCTCTTAGAGGTGCCCTTCTGCTGCATTTCATTCCCACGGCATCGCAATGAACGCTCTCGGCAACTTATGCATACGGACTAGTGGTGCACTGAAGACGTACGTATTGGAAGGCACCATCAGGATCAACAGCGTACTTTTGCATTTTCAACACAGCAGGCTACAAGGTATATAGCTCCCTAAGACGGAACATTCGGCCTCTTTGATCATCCTACCCTTTCAAAGTAGGCCTTAACCTCTTGATCAAACTTGGCGGCTCCGGTCACATGGCAGTCGACCGCCTCGATGCTAGTGACCCGGTGACCATAACCGAAGGACAGGAGCCTGGAGAGATGACCCTGACCCGAGCCAACGTCTACGATGTGGCAGCAAGCGGCCTTCTCGCACATGGTGTTAATGACCTGTGTAGGCGTTGAAACAGCGAAGAGGGGACAATAGTACGAAACTAGGTCAAGAGTGTTGCAAGGATCAGTCGCGAGTCAGGCCTGTCTGAAACTCACCCCCAGAGCCTAATTTCTGCTATGCATCTACAGTTTGTCCCAACAAATTTCAAATTGGTGATGACCTACATGTAGGTCTAGGCAACCGATCTGAATGCAGCCTTGGTCACAGTCGTGTTTTTAACCAGGCAAGCAACTTCTTGGTCAGAGATTAGTGCATTTTGTGCCTATGTAATTACACCCTGGTTAGTTCTGCTCTTAACTTGAGGTTTCAGGAAGTTTCAATTTCCACACACACACAAAGGGTTGTGCTTGTGAAATTCAAGAAGAGATTCTTTTACAATCAAATAGTTGGCACATGTGAAGGAGTTTGGGCCATACATGCCATAATATACAAATATTGACTGCTTCGTGTAGTAGAGTAAAACTAACTTCCCGAAGTGATCCATGGAACATTCTATAGAATAGGATGCTTCCTGGATCCCTGAGGATCACCAAGAGATAATAAAGCAGTCAATATTCATTTTATAACACCTCATTCACAGATTCTGCACAATTTAAGATAAAAATAAAAAATAAAACACCAAAGAGCAAAGTGTCGACGTTCTATTTTGCAAATTGTGTGTAACGTTAGAATGTGTGTACCGACAACATACACTGCGTGACATACTTGACCTATTTGCATCTTCGTTCTCTTAACCTATTCAATTTGCAGCTAGTATGTAGCCTGGTTCAACTTGTTCGAGAGTGACAGAAAAAGGTTTACCCTATGAGCCGAAATACAAGCCTAGGTACTCAGTTATGGATAGCGTTCTTTGGTTGTTATGGGTATAGTTCATTTTCAGAGCGAGGCTGCATGTGCATGGTCTTCTGGAGTGGTGGTACAAAAATAGTAAAACAAACAAGCGTCACATGACACACCTTCGTCCAATCAAGATACAGAATCTGTGGGAGAGGTGTTACAATTAGGAATGTGACGATCAGGTCAGGTTATCATGACAAACCTTACTTGTTTCTTAAAATCTACATGTTTAATCTAAGAAACGGTAAAGAAGAAAAACAAGCTCCATTTGTCAGGTGAAGCTCTTTAAATAACAGTTGACTCCAAACAGGATCAAGAAAGGCAAAAAATGTGAGTTACTCGTCTAGACGTCTCAATTATAAAAAGTGAAAAATAATCTTTGCAGTCTAGGTTATCAAAGCTGAGTTAGAGCCTGTTTTTACAGGAAAATTTGTCAATCATGTCTAGATAAGAAAAAAACACAAACACCGGACAAATTGGAGCCCTCAAAATGACACTTGGCTAGATTTACTGCGGCCAATCGTTCAATCTCGTGCTGCTTCTTGGGTTTGACGTGCGCTCGGTAGCAGTGGGACAAGTCTGGGTTCCTGCCACTCTGGGGGTGGAGCTTGGCCGGCTGGGCAGCGGTGCGACGGAGGGCCAAGGCAAGGGTGGCGGCTCTGAAGGCCAGAAGTGACAGCGGCCACACAGTTGAGGACTCACTCCTGTTAAAGATTAGCATTTGATGGGGTACTACGTTCAGAAATTGGTCTGCAAAGCTATAAAACCGTGTAGTCCAGGATTCCATATCTGCATTTTCAAAAAAGTGGTGCCTTGACCACTTTGCATGAATTACATGTAAACACTCGGGGGGCTTTCTCCTGTCATAAATGAAGAGGACGTTTAAACACATTCTGGTGAAATTCTGTACCCAGTAATGGGTGATGCTGTAGTGATTCTCATTGAGTTTGTGCACAGACAGAGTCTGGGACTAGTCCCTGGAGGTTGAGAGTATGCATTGGCCTCAAGCAGTCATGGGCCATGATGTGCACTGTAACAACTGTGACCTGCTCTAGAAAAATGGGTAATAAGTCACCAGATCCAGATTATCAGTTTTTGATATGACTGGATTGAGTACATCACAAGCTACAATTTGATATATGAATGATCCCTGCAGTGCGCTGGGTTCCAGAGATACATAGACATTTGCATATCTACACTTTCAGATTCAATAAAAGCACTTTTCGAGGAAAAGCTCATAAAGAGTAGCGCTTGAAAACACAATGCTTTACAGGATTTCTTACTGAATGATCAATTTTTCATCTTTATTCCTCAATGTTTGTATCAATGTTTGTAGTCACAAAATTCTGAAAATATAAATATTATAGAAGTTATTACAGGAAAAAACACAAACCCACATTTTTGAAGAAATTTTGCCCTCTTCAAATAGAAGAGGTCATTACGTGTTTTGGCATGGCACAACTTAATACCCTTTATTGCGGAGCAGGTCACAATTATCAATCCACAACACTGTCTTGGAGTTTCAAAAAAGTGAAAAATTCACTCAAGTCTTGTAAGACTGACTGGCAAGGGTCTGCATATTAGTAAAGTCCAACTTGGTCGAGGAGTGGGGTTGTGGTATTTTGCCATTTTTAAAATGTCACGAGTCTTAGGCCAAAAATACTATTGCGCCTAGGATAAGTTCATTATGGAAAAACACCATCGCCAAGTGGTTCTTCACAAGAGCATTTTAATCTAGAAGGTGCCATAAATGGTAGATTTTATGTCAACGAGGACTAAATCATTGAAAAGCGGTTTACCTCTGTGAGGTGGGTGGGGAATTCATAAGAACGGACTCTGCAATGTCGGGTGGGGTCAGAGAGGCAAGAGCTGTCTGCCAGGAAGGAGGCAGACGACTCCAGTGGTCCTTCAGAAAGAATTCCTACCAGAGGGGAAACAAAACACAACTGTTTCTGCTGATGTGAATTAAGTTTATCACATCTTTGCATACACCGATCTTGTTACAGAGCACCTAAACACATAATTAAACGAAGGGCCCAACTCCAACAAAACCTTTTTGTGTTGAAAGAAAAAAACTGAATAGGTTTTGAAGGAATTGCAAAGGAAATAATATAACTCTCCAAGGTCAAAATGGAGGAGTCGGACCTTTCTTTTAATGAGGTATTTATATGTTTAGTAAATAATGCCGTTTGTTACTTTTATGCGTCTGTGTCCAGACTATGTGCTAAAAAACACCATACTAGGTATCCATTCATGGCTGTATGGGGTAGGGGCATTTGAGCCTGGTACCCAGGTAATTGGGTACCAAGGCCTGTGATGAGTTATATGGTCGAGTTCATCAGAACTCTATTCACAAGTCCCTTCACAAGACCAGTCACAAGTAACAAAGTAACCGGTGACAAAGGACTGCTTCTGTCACAGTTCATTTGAATAGCTTGTGATTTGACTTCAGAGTGAATGACTTGTTCTAAGTTCATTTCGGCTTTTCTCAGATTTTTCCCAAGATGGCTTAACCAAAATGACCAAACTCAAAAATTGCGAATGGTAAACCAAAAGCGATCAACTGACATGGTGATATGACAGACCTGACCAGACCCAAAGTCGGTTTCAAGTTGGGTCTGCACAACTGCTACATTACGCATTTGTCATCTTACCACAACATACGATTCTGTGATCCAACGATACTTGCAGACTAGCACGTGAAGCTGTCTGGTCAACTCCTCAACCTGCCTTGCTGAGCTTTCCGTACACGATAAAGATGCTGCCATATTTCTGCATAAGATAGTAAGCCCCCCAAAAAGAAAGAGTTGATGCCTGCAGCTGTTACATTACCTTGATTACAATAGCAAAACGTTACAAAAATCCAACCTACATGAGAGAGATATAGCTGCCTTGCTTGTGCATACATGTAAGTGTATGAAACTCAGTTTAGATGTCAAAGCTGCTCAACTCTAAATAGGGAAAACTCTGTCTTTTTCTGTCTTTGATTTGAAATTTAAACGGACTGCAGAAAGCAAGACCTATAAATGATGGATACACAGTTCCCGTTATCAGCTAAATTCCCCAGCACTTTCTCAGAAAGAATTCCATATATGGACCCTGCTTGACACCTTGTGCACAAACCAAGAGATAGACTGGTCTGAAAAATTCTTGGTACATGTACTTTCGAAGTGAATCACTAAATCTGACTTTTTAGGTCATTTTGTTGCTTTCAAATGGCTAAAAGGTCACTGCAGGACAAATTAGTGTTGTCTGACAATGGAATTCTTCCATTTTCTTTGCTAATGTAGTCACGGTACTAGTATTTAAACGTTCATACCAAAACCTCATTTTGACCTTTGATGGAAAATGTTGAAGAGAAACTCTTCGAAAATATTGAAATCTGAATTAAAACCTCAAACCAGGCTGATCAGCTGATGATTAAGAAAATCTTGGGAAAATATTTTGTTCTGAGTCATGCATTTCAACATGTTCAATGTGCTTCCCTATAAAGCGCACTTGGAATGGACTGAACAAAGTCGACAGTCATGACAGTTGGGGCAGCCATGGAGAACCACCGGTACCCCCAGAACTGTGAAGTTCGTCACCCATCAGTACCCCCAGAATTGTGGGTTTGTCACCCACCAGTACCCACTGAACTGTGGGGTTCAACATCCGCTGCACTCCCAAGTGGGAGCGGGCGGACCTCGGACTCCACAGTGGGTTCGTCACCCACCAGTACCCCCAGAACTGTGGGATTTGTCACCCACCAGTACCCGCTGAACTGTGGGGTTCAACATCCACTGCACTCCCAAGTGGAAGCGGGGGGACGTCGGACTCCACAGTTCTGGGGAGTCAAGTCATGCATGTAGTTTGAGTATCTCCAGCTTTGATGCTTATGACTTCTGGAAATTCACAAATGTCGAGATGTCATGACTTGAATAACTTAAGCATTACCCCCTGAACTGTGGGGTCCAATGTCCGCCCCTCAGCTCTGGGCGTTACTTCAACATATCTTTTTAGGGTTGTCGTTAGGGCCCACCAACAATACTGCCTAACATTAGGCCATGGAGGAATAAAACACATGGATAGGCTTAACCGTTGTTTATGTTTCCACCTTGCTTTGGCTAAATGCTACATCATTTACATGCAGTTGTACTCCAGACTTGCCCTGTCCAGAACTGGAAAGTAGGCCTTGCTTTAGCCCCACTACTACGGGGCTAGCCTAGCTTGTAGCTAGCTATGCAAAGAGGCAAGCAGAAGCACAGGAAGGATACGATGAGGTAGTTCAAATTGGCCATATTAAACATCAGCATTGAAAAAAAAAATCTTGGGTTTGCAGACCAAAGCAAAGGCCAAAGCTTCAGAGTTTGGTCTTCAATCTTACCACGGAGGACGAGGAAGGAACATCACTGATCTCGTGAATCGTGTGTATCGATCACGTACGGACATGTGGCAAACGGAGAGCGCCCTCTTGATCTCAATGGATGTATTGTTTACCTGGGGCGCCCTTTTAAGTGTAATCACCGTTCTTCAAACGTCGGCTTCTTCCGATTAGACGCAGTCTCGCGGCGTTATCTCGTTCTCCAGGATCGTTTGATTACAGAATAAACAGACTCTCAATCAACTCTGGGCTTGAGTTTTGCTAGTTGATATTAAAACATCAGCATATGGCCCTTAATCTGGCCAGAAAATCCAAGTCTAGAGCCTGAAATCTCTAGAAGCCAAAGCTTGAAATTTGAGGAAGTCATGATTTGGAAAACTTTAGGGTAAGCTTCCGGTATCTGTATGCGACCGAAGCCGTGTGACGGGACGGTGAAATTACGGTGTTCGAATTCGATTCAACAACCGGAGTCTTTCTACAAAGTTTCTTGTTTTCGGTGTGTTCACAGCGCCAGTTCACAGATTTGGCATTGATGACTGAATTCTCACGGATAGGGTTTTAATATCTTTTTGAAGGTGTTTTTGGTACGTAAGCAAATAGTTTAGTCCGCAGTCTACATCATTATACGCCTAGGTATTCGATGTCGTACTGTACTAACGTGCGTGACTGGTGACCGTTATGTCGCACGTCCCTTAGTAGCACTTCGCCTCTTACTGTGAAAACCGGTCAGACTCAACAATAGGCGGCGATATTATTAGGAACCTGGCGACTATACCGTCACGCATGTTAGGCAGCCTTAGTTTACTGCGGCATGCGCCATGGAATGATGGATGCATGGTCCGGTCGCGCATGCCTCTTTCTTCTTCCATGTCCTCCAGGCATGACCATGCCTAGGGCTAGGCCTACTTCGAGAACTCTAAGTCACTAACTCTGTGATACTCTGTGTGACTTACAGGAGACAAGGTTTACATGGCGTTGTAACGCTATGGGTTTTTTGAATCAAATTTTTGTGGTGAAATGGCTCAAAGCCGCATCTTGGTTCGATCATTTTCGGTGGCAGGGGATAACATCACACATGGCGCCGCATGTCGTGCGTCTCGCCCGATGTGTGTTTCCAGGGCACAGCAGCAGCTAGGATGGTTCCAGGATGAAAACAACACGAGATGTCATCCCCCGCCACTGAAAAGGGTGGAACCAAGATGTGGAGCAAGTGCGGCCATTGCGGGTTCAACGCATGCGCAGGCTGATAAACACGAACGGCATGAACAGAGCGACAGTCAATGGGTGGAAGCGAGAAATTGGTGAGCAGAAATCTCATTTTTTTCAAAAATACTGCGTCTCATGCTGTTCAACTTTTGTTATCCCCTTTTTAGAAGGTACATGTATAGATTAAGCAGATATGCTGATACGGGAAAATTGGATTTAATACTTCTTACGGCTGTGAACCATTTCACCACAAAATTTCGATTCCAAAACCCCATAGCATTACAACGCCATGTAAACCTTGTCTCCTCTAAGTCACACAGAGTATCACAGAGTTCGGGACTTAGACTCGAAGTAGACCATGCCATGCCTGTACATCGCCGCTAGACCATGTACCAAACCCATGAACAGGGCCCTACACTTGCTTTTTCATTGATTGACGAAGGAATATACGCAGGGCCCTGATCTGAAGTGAACAACATGCCATAGGCCTACTTGATGTAACTTGTCAAACATGTCAAGCATCAGTTCCCCTATTCTCTAGTTTGGCATGTTTTACACCTATAGCTTTGTTACGATCAGTTGGTTTGTGCATTCCTTCCATTGCATTTAATGTCTCGCTTTCCTTTTGTAAACAATCTTCTGTGTCCTGTCTTCTTCCATGGTCCTCTACAACCACAAATAAGATATGAAAAAGAACATTGAGAATGGTTGGACATGGGTTAATGGAAAGGGTCTACCCATGGAGGCATCACGTACATTGTAGATCCATTGAGATAATGCCCGACATTTTCACTAAGGCCGTGTCTGAAACGGGCTTCCAGAGCTACGGCTAGGTTTATTGTCTGCGCATCTCCACGTGTTTCCATTGGAGCGAAGACCTAGACCTAGCTCTAGACAAGAGTTTTGGATGCCGTCTTAGTCTTATGTTAAGGTCTGGGACAGTATCCTTATTAAGAGTAATGATCATGCTGGGCACGGTAAGTTGATTGGCATGATCGTGCGGTCGCATTTCACCATCAGTTGATCCTGTCTACAACTTTTAACTTTACCTCCCATTATGATAATATTCCACGTCTGTGAATTAGACAGAAAAGGTGAACAGCTGATGGCAGAATTATGGGCAAATCTTGCACCAAGATTGACAGATATCGCTCCAAGATCGAGCGATTCCCAAGATTGACCAGCCACCCGGAACAATCACACTGCTCTAGAGCCAGGGGGAGGGAAGAGGGAGGGTTGGGAGAGGTGCTGTTGTGTTTGATCTGCCATAGTGCACCGACACGTCACATTTGAATTTTGAAACAGTTGACGGTTGCATAGTGGGTATATCAAGACTACACCAAAGCACCCGAAATGGGGGTTTGCTCACGGGTACTGTTAGGTACATGCATGTACACATTGGAGATCAGCTTTTTGAATAGCCACTTGTATTATGAGGCAAATGGGGCTACATGTGAATGCGTAGTCGGTCACTTCTTAATGTTAAATGCCATGTCTTTGCACTTACACAGAGGGCACCGACCACAACGGTAGAAAGATGACGCTCATGCAACTGTTTGGTGCACTTTTCATTGCGTACGGACCTCCCGCATGTCTCTTCATCATCACAATCGCTCGCAACCCGTTACGGGTAATTGTCATGATCGCTGGGTGAGTCGCCATTGTTACAGCTTCTCAAGTCTTGAAGTCAATTCAAGTAACTGAATATCCAATATTTGACAGTTCATTCACTCAACCACAGTAAAATCTGAACAACTCAAAGATTAACTCAAAACTCCACTCATCTCGAAGGCATTCTTCAGTCCTGCCAAAAAAACAGGCTTTTATGTACAAAAATACCTCCATAACTCAAAATGCCCATGCCATGGGTCAGAGCCCACAGTGGTTTATGTTTTATTTATCAGCAGAGGAGAAAAATAATACGTAAGAAAACCACAAAATCCCAGCAACGTTATGATTTTTTAGAATTAATAAACTTATTCTTGACTATAAGGAAGTCCCCACTTATGACATGTTCAATAGCCACCATGGGGGCAAGTAGGGTTGCTTGTGCCCTGAGCACATCTGTGTGGACAAGACTTGGGAATTTTTGTTAGCTTGAAATCTGGACAGTGTTGTAGTCAAGACCATCACAAGACCAGACACGAGACCAGTCACAGGTAACAGGGTGGAGAATGGCAAAGGAATGCTTTTGTTGCAGTGCATTGGAATAGCTTGCGGCTTGAACACAGACTAGACGTCTTGTGCTGGCCTTGTGCTGGTCTCGTGAAGGTCTTAAGTGGTCTCGACTACCACACTGAATCCGGGCAACTCAAATTTTTTTTATCTATTCCCGTGAGGTTCAAGTTACTGTATCCGCTCTGAGCGGAACAAAAGAGGGCGTGTTTTTTTGCTACTCGCCACATAGGCAGGCATTTATAATGGAGATCAGGGGCGTGTTTGACGCAGAACACACTGAGCATGTGTGAGAACTTGATTCCTTAATTAATGTATTCTCTTTGCGTACATGCAGAACGCATGCAAGAACCCACTTGGAAAACTTACTACCATCTGTCTGTCTTTTTGCCGCTCGGAGGTGCACTTCAACTTGGGGCGGATACAGTTTTACTAAAGTTCCTTAACCCTAACAGTCCTCAGTCCTCCAATGGGTGAAGGACTGTCAGGGTTAATTAAAAGCCGAAACCAAATATGTGCACTGTACCCTGTATGTTTGCGACCAGTAGTTTACATCAACCTGAACCGTCCTGATTCATCCAGTTTTGATACCGTTTCACACACACCCTAGGGAGTTCGGATTACAAGGGTAGGCTGGTAAAATGTTTTTCCTAATTTGTAATTTATTCCCTGATTAATCCCATCGAGGTCACAAACCCCCACAACAATGGAAATGGTAATATATTGGCCGTAGTTGGGGGGATACCTGCACAATCATGCGTCAGCTTTCTTTAAGTTTCCTCACAAGACCTTGAAATACAATTTTTTTAGCATGCAATTTTTGTAACCAAATTATTTTTTGGCCTTTTTATTTTATTGATTTTCACTTCCTGTTCCAAATATTTGATTTTGAAAAGAAATATTCAGTTATTCAACAATGATGAAAATCGATCAGATATTTGAATTCTCCAATATTCATGACAGCTATAACAGCTTCTTTGGATTGTTCCATTAAATTGTTGGAGAAGAATCATTTTTTGACAATCTCTCCTAGATGAGTATCTGTAAGTAATAATGAGACTTTTGGATGTCCAGGAACGAATCCACTAGCTTTCTGTCATTTTCTTAGATTGAAAGGAATGGACCCCTTTAACATTCAAAAGTTTTTACATCTGACACTCTAAGTTACATGTCTATATTGAAGAGATATTCCATTTTCCCACCAGAATATTTTTTTATCTTGTTACATTTTCTCCCAAATGCCTCCAACATTATTTGCTTCTTTGAGTTTCCCGTAGCCCTATAAACCCTCCTCAATCCTCCAAAATCCTTCGGGCAGTTTTGGAGGATTTTAGAGGATTGAGAGTGAATGGCAAAAGTGCATGGCTTATTGGGAAGGACGCCATGAGTGAAGGTCATGGGTTAGACTTTGCGTTGTTCTTGCTCAGTCATGCATGAAATCGGCTCGATATTTCTTTCGAATCAAGCGCTCTGCTCAAGAATGCCATTCGCACTGCCTCAACATAATGACAGGAATTGCCAGAGGATTTTGAAGGATTGAGGCAGGAGGCACACATCCAAGTAACATTTTTAAGAAATTTTGGAGGATTTTAGAGGATCGTAGGAAGAATCCAATTTTTTTTCACCTCCCAAATTGGAGGATTCTGGAGGATTGAGGACGGTCCCTAGCAAAAACGGCCTAGGGGTTAGGATTAATTTGAAGGAAACTTATGGACAACAAAGTTCCCTAAAGACCACAGAATGTCAATGCAGCACCTGACTTGTTTACGGCCCTTTATGGAAATGTCACAAGGATGCTTATGGATCATGTACCTGTAAATAGATTTCTTTACTGAGCTACTGATATTTCAAATGTCACAAACATGTAGCTCTGGCAAAGATACATGTGCATGTGCCCCTTACATGTAGGATCAACTGCTGTCTGAGAAAGAGGCAATTTGTAAGCTCACGGAATGGTACCCCTTTTATAGCTGCATGTAGACATGCCTTGTATCAGTTAGCACTCTAACATTTCAATAGCGTTACTATTGAAAGCTTACAGTATGTGAATGATTGGATTTCAGGATAATGACTCAGTTGAACAGACTGTGAACCTTTCAACCTCAATCAGATAAGGTCACTGCCATAAAGGATCTCGTGCCAGACCTTCCTTTGCCCCGTCTCAAATTTTCTCTGCAATTGGGAACACGTCATGAGTCCGTTATTCGGGGTAGGACATTTGCAAATTATGCCACGTGGGGTTTGTTACGAGTGGAAATCTGGCTTGTAATCCCGTCAATTGTCTGTTGTTTGTTTTTCTGTTGCCGTCTCACCACAGGATGTTTTTCTGGCTGGTATCCTTGCTTTTCTCGTCCATATGGTGGTTTGCTGTGGTCCCTCTCAGGGACCAGCTAGCCTTTGGCCTGACGTTCTCGGTCCTGTTTCAGGAACTGATGCGTCTCGGATACTACAAGCTTCTCAGGTGTGTATGTTGAAGTAACTAAAATCATAAGGAGAAAAAAAAGAACAAAAACGATGCCTTTTTCACTACCCGTGCAGAAAACAAAACAAAACAAAGTACCACCCTTACCCATTGTCATTGATTAATGGTTCTTATGATGTACGCATTTTCATACATGATGACAATGAGGCCAAACAAAAAATTATTGTTTCCAACCCGACCCAACCTAGATTCTGTGTCTTTTTGTTTATAGAATTGATACAGAAATACACAATGTACCTGCGGTCCCAACCCCAGAGCCTAATATGTGAATGATTCTTCACTTTTATTACATTTTTGAAGCTGGTTGGCTGGCAGAATGGCACTTGGTCAAGTGTGTTTGCGCCCACATAAATCTGATTTCCAAAACCAGATATTCTTTCGCCACTCACGGTTTTATTGGCATGCACATATGTATGTGCAGTCATAAATCTGTCATTTTCGCTCGTCAATTGTTACCAGTGAGTGCACCTGCACAGATTAATTGATCATCATTGCACTCTCAAAAAAGTTTGAGTGATAAAAAAAGGAAAGAATGTTTGATTGATGAAGTCTCCTCTCCTCCAGCAATGAAGGGGTTACCCTACCTTGACAATTAGGGCAATCCTTGGCACTTCTATCATAAATTCCCCAGATTGTTGAGAGCTCTCATCCATTACATGGGACCGTTTTAGTTCAACATACCATCCAGAGAATGTAACCCTCAAGAATGTATGGCCCTGGAGAGTGTGTGTAAAAAGTTTTTCTTCGCGACACCCTGTGAGCCATTTCCCATACACCTGGTTTTTCATTGTGCACCAAAAAGACGTAAGACTTCAGCAACTTGGATCTTCTCCGTGTCAGTTCAAGGGAGATTAGGGCACTCAGTGTTTGAATTTGAATTGACTGAAAGCCCCTGAATGTAAGCTGCTCAAAGTCCAACCAGTAACGTGTGGCGTAGTTTCCCATCCAAGCACTGCTTCCCCAAACATTTGCCTCGTTGAAAACAACGTGAAACACCAACAGTTTCAGGTGTGCAAATCAATGTTTATTTTTTACCCTTGCCCACCTGTTCAGGCGTGTCATATGTAATGTGGACCTCTGTACGAAAGAAGTCCACATAATACAGGGTACAATGGCATTGTGTGGACTTGCACATGTCCACTTTTCCCCTCTCTGAAAAACAGTTTCAGAGGTATTTTGGGGTCAAGGTTATCGTGGCAAAATGAAGAGGAACAGTCTAGGAAATCATCGTCAAAACTCCAGCTCTAAGCAGTTTTCCTAGTGGGGGAAAAAGGAGCATTTTCCTGAAGTTTCCTTAACCACAGGAGAACAAAGGAATGTCCACACTTCGTGTGTAAAACAAGATATGATAAATCTGATACATTCGCAGGCAGAAAAATTTCTAACTTGGATGAGATCAAGTTCCTGTCTTCAGATCCATGACGTGTCTGGATAACAGCACGTCTGGATAAAGACACAGAAAGTTTCACTGGGAAACCACAAGCACATGTATTTGTATTTTCACTAATCACACAGACATTGCCAATGTTGACATGGAATCCATCCCAGAATCGCTCTATCAGTCATGAACCATTAGGGCAGGTGAAATGTGTTCTTCCTCTTTGAACTCCCTTGGTTGGGGTACGTTCTTTTCAAGACTTGGTTTCATAGTATTTGCTGAACCAGCTCTGGGAAAAGATTTCCAGACCAGCTGATGACCAAACAAGAGAAAGCTTATGTCTGTAGCAAAGCAAGATGAACGCTTCACCGTTCCCCTGTTTTGGACTGTCACAGGAAAGCCGAGGACGGTCTGCAGCAATTCAACCAGACAGGGCCACCAGACCCGAGGTCTGCTCCGAATGCAAATGGCACCACTTCAGACAGCGCACGCCACGTTTATGCATACGGTAACCGGTGCTTTCATTGTCCAACTGATAATTGCCTTGGAGAAGCACACACTACAGAAAGTTTATGGAAACCGTGAAAAGCTGTGCTTCGGAAACCTGTTAGTGCATCCATTGACAGGTCCAACATGTATAAGAGAGGCCCATGGCATTATGGCCTCTTCCTAAACAGAAGTGAAACAGAACCAAAGGCAATATTGCAGCTGTTTCATTTCCCATCTTTCCATATGCATGTGCATGTGAAACAACCTACAATTCAGCCTCACCTTTCCCAAAAAAAAGGCCATAAGAGATTACACAGAGAAATTTCCAATTTTGGGGGCCACCCCTTCGTCTGAAAAAAAATTTTCCCCCACCCTCACCGAAAGGAATTAGTTCTAGACCCACCTTTAGTATTTCTCGCTTGAGGCTGGGCTGTTAGTGCTCCTTATTCATGACTATCCACATCATAACCTCAAATGCCTCCTCGCCACGGAATGCCTTGCAAAGAAACTGGTTTCATATTGTCCCATCTGCAAAGAGCCATGGACAGCAACACATACAGGCACACTGTAGCCGCACTCATCAGTAGCAGTTGTACGGTCGCAGCCAGTTCACAGATTAGGGGATGCAGTTATCACAGTGTTGTTTTATATTTTTATATTCCAGTGGCTGGTCTCGGCTTTGGGCTGATGAGTGGCGTTTTGCAGTTGGTCAACGTTATCGCTGACTCCAGGGGGCCCGGAACTGTAGGGATTGATGGGGGACCATCGAACTTCCTCATCACGTCAGGTCTGCACTGGGGAGAGATAATCCCTCGTTACATTATTATGCAAAACTTGAACCAAGTGAACGTAGAGAAGTCAATAGCTACTCCACATCAGTCAAATAGACATTAGTGTCATTCCTGATTAAGATTTCGGAACGTTGAAAAGTGGCCATTTTTCCATTTAGGTCAAAGTTCAGGTAACAGTTGTGACCGTGGCCGAGTCTGTTTTTATTCTTTGTAGGGGCTGTTCACAATACGCCTACGTAGCAAGGTGTAGAGTTGAGGGCCATGGGTACCTCCTGTGTACAGGGAAAGTTGCTTGCCTTACATAAACCAATATCAAGGCATCTGCACATTGTCAATTGTTATTATGAAGGGACTGGCATGTCGATAGAAGCTGCACCTGTTTAAAGTGGCCAGGTGTACAGCGTTCCTACATCCTTTTTCAATGGCTTGTAATATTCCTCGAAAGCTAAAGTTTGGTAGTGCGACTGCAGTTAAAATGAACAAGCTGCCTGTCTCTTCACTAAAAGGACAATTCGAGTTCAACTTCTTTCCACCATATCTGTACAGCATGGTTTGTCCTACAAATTGGTTGCTTATGTTAAATGTGTGTGCTGCTGAGAATGTAACGGAAATGACTGTCTCTTTGTCAAGATGTAAAACCTGACAGAACGCTGATAGATAAAAAATGTGTAAGTTTTCTTTTTTTATAGCATTGAATGCAAGGCTACTTCACAAAACCTACGCGAGACTTTTTGGGAAAGCCCCAACACAACGGGTTGAATTCTAGGCGTGACTTGCTCTTACGAGTTGCCCTGATGACGGGACAGTGAGATGGAAGACAGATTCTGTCCCACCACTTTTTGACAAGAATTTGTGGACAGGGTCCAAAAATGATACTGTCCTGGGACGAGGAGGGGTTGACAGTCTGCGCTGGTGCCTCTGTGTACTGCATGGGGGGTCTCTTGGAGATTGTGTGTGACATGCTTACTGGGTGGGCCAAATAGGGGTGGGGTTACAGATGGAAACAATTTTTGTATGTTACATATATGTGAATGGCCCGCGTAATAGGTTGAATCCTTTTCGCTTACCTCTTCGGTGCACAAAGTTTACAGAGCTTTGATCTCTTCACAGCTTTCCTGACTATGGCGTTTGTGCTCCTTCACATTGTGTGGAACGTGCTGTTTTTCTGGGGTTGTGAGACGAAAAAGTACTACGTCAATGCGATCGTAGTGTTCTCCCATTTCCTGGTATCTGAATTGGTAAGCCTTGACTCCGTCTTTCCTCATGCAGAAATTGTTTGAATGGTGCAGCTCCTTTTTAGCTCATTTTAGTTAGTTCAAATTGTTGGGGGGGCATCACATTGTTCTAAAAGGGCATATGCATCACAGGCATCAAGAACTTGGTTTATTTTGGGATTACATCAGCACATTAGGATTTACTTGTGATGTCTTATATGCCATGCCTATTCAGAGTACATGTGGATTTGTGTGCATTCAGATGAAATTTGTGCCCTCTTTTCTCTGCTTTGCATACCACTATATGGAGTATATGTGGATTTGTGTACATTCAGATGAAATTTGTGCCCTCTTTTCTCTGCCTTGCATACCAGTATATGGAGTATATGTGGATTTGTGTACATTCAGATGAAATTTGTGCCTCTTTTCTCTGCCTTGCATACTGAGATATGGAGTAAATGTGGATGTGTGCTCATTCAGTCAAAAACTGTGTCCATTTATAACGAAAACTATCAACAATTCATGTAAACACACTGGCTTAGGTGACCTAGGCACACAGGAGTAAAACACAAAGTACATGCAACACTAGTGTTGCTGCTGTGCTCTGCATTTACAAAAGGGTGTTGCCCCTGATCAGTCGCTCCTTGGAGTCTTAAAACGGGGGACTCAGTATGTAATTCTTTCTCCCTTCCCGTGTCCCTTTCCCCCCACAGACCCTTCTGAATCAGGAGCAGCTCTATACAGTCACCCTGCCGGTGGCCTACGCCATACTCCTTGTCCAAACAGCCTGGGCCTTCATCGTCGTTGGGGGCTCGGTGTCCAGCCTTCGCAATGCCTTCAAGTGGAAAGCCCAGCGTTACGCCCTGTAAATACGCCAAGTGGATGAAAAGTATACTCTTGTAATACATGTAGGTTCTGCGTATCTGTATGATTTGATCTGAAAACCCATTTGAGCAAAGTTTTTATCTGTTTATGATGGACTTGCATGTTACTTCTTTTTATAGAACTTGTTAGTTGGTGTTCAAGATCATTTGTTTCACCAAGATTGGTTTCATTAGCAATATCTGTGCCAGGAAAAATTCCCTTCCGATCATGCAAGCATGAAATCCGAGATAGCTGCCAGGAGTAAGACTTATTCAAGTCAATAGTGGTCAGACGAGGAATGTTGACATCAAAACAAAAATGGTTCAACTGCTACAGAAGGAAAATTTCCTAAAGGTGGCGTTTAGAGTGCACCACAACCCATTCCCATTGACATGATGTGAACGACATCTCTATCTTGAAACTCATTTGTAATTTTGTGTGGTACACGAGTATAGTCACCAGACGGGTACTTCCTTAACTGAGTAAAGGAAATAAACTTAAACTTTGTGGCATTTCCTCTGAGTGTAACCAGAATAGATCATTGCCTCATCATATAGACCTTTATCGTGGTACTGCCATGTTTGCTTGTTCCCGGTAGACCCATTGGCAACAGTGATGCAACTTCACATACTGATTAAAGGGAACCGACTCTTCTTCCTTCCAGGCTCAGGCTGCATCCGAATCTCTCGTCTAGAGCTAGGTCTAGGTCTTCACTCCATGCGTGGAGACGTGTAGACAATAGACCTAGCCATAGCTCTGGAAGCCCGTTTTGGACACGGCCTCAGTATGGTTACATTGCCTTGAATGATAGACAGGCAAGATGGCTGCCCCATGATAGAGGTCTATACCCTTTTTGTCTGGGTGCCTTCCATATGTAAGAATATAGGCCTGAGCAAGTTACAAAGCACCCTCTATTTTGCATCAAATAGTGATTGCTTCAATAATTAAGTAAAAGCTCTGCAATACATGTACATGCAGCCCACTATGGACGGTGTGCTGACTGTAAGGATACACTTTACCACTGCACCATTAACTGTGTAACTGTTACCAGTTTTCTGTGACGTTTTCCCTGTTATTTTTTATGTACTTTTTTGCCTTTAATTTTTTCTTAAAGTTAAAAAATAAAGATGGAGTTTATACCTATGTGTAGGTTTTAAATAAAGTTCATGCATCCTATGACTGTTGATGAACCGTTGGTGCATTATTATTTCAAAGTTACCTACCCCCTAGATTAGGGTACCTGGTCATTTGTCAGTAACCCCCTTGAAATTAGCTTATACGTGGGTGGGAGCGTTAAAGCGTTATTCAACATTTGCAGGATCAACTTCAACGCGTGTCGCCAAAAATAATGATTGTGTAAGCAACAATAGCAAACATCAAATGTACGGTGATATTAGTTCTGAAATTATGGCCAAAATGTGTTTACTCTGCGCAGAAACAATCTCGAGCTTTTCAAGAAAACCGGCTTGTGGGATCTGATAATTATGGGGGCGGGGACCAGTCAACACTTCAAGACTTAAAAATCCTTTAAATCAGCAGAGGGCGCAATTTACAGGGTCATGGCCACGGGACATGACAGCTAGCTGTATAATGGAGACTAGTCGTCCTGGATTTCTTGTATTTGAGAGCCGGATCAGGCTTTAATCTGGTTATCGTGGACAAGTATGCGTTTTATTCAGATCGAGCGGATGGTGATCGACGGTAATAATATGCAAATGATGGCTGGAATGAGTGCTTCACGATCCTGTAGGAAGGCCCTACATCATACTTGCAAGCCTTCGAAAATTGCAACATGCATCTCAGATATTCGGATCTGACCACACGCAACATCACGCTACATGTACCTAGGGATATGGGCGGGGAGGGGTCAACTTTATCACAGCCAAGTTGTGAAATTCCCTAAAGCCTTTAGAAATTTCACAAATTGATGGTGCCAGTTTTGATGCCCTCAACATGCTAAGTGGTTCACCAGTGCATGGTCTTGAAGCTTCGAAACAAAGTCTCCAACGATAATTACATGGACTTTGTGCCCCGGTGACTTCAAGAAAGATCTTCGGGCGATAAACATCATGGGCGCGCGTCGTTCGGTGAGAGCCAGTCGCTTGTAGTCGCCTGAAAGCGATCGAACAACACCACGTGAACAAAGATCTTATTGGACGACTTCCTAAGGAGTGGAGAAACACCAAACTGAGACTGTCGATTGACCTAGCTTTGATGGTCCAGAAAGCCTTTAGTTTGTCTCAGCACAGCGTGGAATCTTTTAAATACAGTTACTTTTTTTTAACACACGGCAGTCATGTTGTGCGCTTAGTTCACTCTCGGTGTAAATGGTCCAGTAAAAAATCTTTGTGTTCAATATTCTTTGCCACTTAGTCGTCTGAGTGTGTAAATAAGCCCTGAACGCTTTTTTGCGCGGGGGGGGGGGGAATAAAAACCCAACGGAAAGACAGCCCGCCCTCAGACAGCCAGACAACAAAGGGAAAGACTACATCGCGCCCAGGTACCGCGCACGCGATGAATGAACATACTCACACGGGTCAGTAATCTCATAAATAATCAACCTTTGATCGTCCTAAGTAGTCGATTCATTGCAGTTTTTCGCGGCATATAGTTTGCAGTTGGCAAGACCTTTGATGGCGGCACTGCATCACCTGGCTACGATTTCAGCCATGCTGTCGCACATGCAATGAAGATTCGAACTCCTGAAGTGAGTACTTTAGGCCTACGCTTTTCTGTTTACAAAAAGTTGTAGAGAAATCGAGTGAAAATCCATTGAGCCATTGAGCTAGGGAACAGCTCTGACCTTAAGCACACGGCAGACATGACTGTGATTTCTCATGTCTCCTAGTTAGGTTTTTCTGTCCCCTAATGAACACGCGTTGGACACTGTTGCCTCAAAATGTCTACTCAGAGGGTTAACGTTTTGTTTAGGTTTTTTCTCTATGTAAAAATAAAAACGAGGTTGATTTAAGAATTAATCTCACAAGAAATGGCCGGCTGGGACCTCAAGTAGACACAAAATAGAAAAAAAAACAACAACTCAGACTTGCTTCAGGGTCACTAACCTTTATTCAAATGACCATCAAAGATACCAGGCCGTGTCCAAATCGCTTGGCTACAACTTGAAATACATGTAACACACGACCCTCTGCGAGCGGGCTGTGGCAACGACCATGGTAGGCTCGTGCGTTATTTCAGGCCAAAGCCGAGTGGAGTGAACATTGCCTAGGTCTTGTAACCTGTGGACGAGAGCTGTGACATCTTCCAATGTAAACGCGCATGGGTCTAGTTCTTGGCTTGTAGGCTAGCAGGAGCATTGGGATCCATAACCTGCTGTTGCCAGACTGCTGGTTATCACAATTGTCACTACATTACAAAGCTGTTGTTTTATCTATACGCGCCACTGTAAAGTTCTTAATTCAAAGTAGTTTGGTCTTTCCTGTTGTAGATGAACCGAAAAAGGCATTTCTATTGAAATTAATGCAGCTAGGCTAGGGCTGGTGTAACTTGACAAAAATAATGGAAGTAAATGTTTAGAGAGTCCCGGGCTGCATCCGAATCTGATGTCTAGAGCTAGGTCTAGGTCTTCACTCCATTGGAAATACTCGGACTCGGAGACGGGCAGATAGTTAGGCCTCGCCGTAGTTTATAAAGCCCGTTTTGGATCCGGCCCCAGCTTCAAGAATTTTGGTTTGGGTTTGATCTTGCTTTGAGCAGGTTTCTTTTTTTTGTCGAGGAATATAGGATTCAAGCTAGAATCGGGGGATACCAGATGGGATTTGCCGGATACCAGACTGGATGTGGGAACCGCATGATCAGATTTATTAAACAGAAGGGGAGAGGCCGTGTTGTACATACATAATGAACAGGCACGCCTAGCTTAAAGGGGCATGCATGGGGTAGCTTTGCAAAAGTGCCTCAAATCAGGGCACACGACGTTCTGCAAAATGCACAAAACGTTACTGACTGGTGGCCCCTGCTTCACAGGGTTTAGCTAGTCGATCTTTCTGGGTATCATGAGCCGCCAGGCCGAAGACAAGTCACAATAATGAAAGCTGACTCCAGGAGGAAGGCAGCTTTCCGATACCGAAGAACCGCGGTTCACAACACTTGTTATGCGATGGCTTTCATACTTTCGGCAATACCTCATAGAAACATGACAGTCGAGAGACAGCATGGTATTGGTCCGTTTCTTTTCATGCTTACTTTTGTTCCTTTTCACACAGCCTACCGTTTAAATACCCAGTGTACCCATGACAGTGTTTTGTATTCCAACTTGCAGGTCGAAATCTCGCAGTCAAAGTGTGACGAAAAAAATGATGCAAAATGAATCTTTAGCCCCCGGCTGCCGCGGAGGTGAAGAGTGACGCTTGCCTCAACTCCACTCAATAATCAGCACTCACCGCACTATGAAATAAACCACAACGCAGGCATTTAACATCGTTTGTCATCATGGTGAAGTCTTATCATCATCCATATCGCCGCCTGACTGATCCGGAGATCTCCCTCACGAGGCCAGCTGCGGCTCTGAGACGGACCACCACAACCGTGCTCGTCGTGGTGATTGTGGCTGTCGTCGCGACGCTCATCATCATCGGTTCTCTGGTGGCGTTTCTTTCCATCCTCGCAGGCGAGCCGCGGGTGTCGTCGGACTCAGCGACGACACCGGTGGATCTGGGACCGCTGTTGGAAAGACTGAGTTCCCTGGAGCGGGAGGTTGCCGAATTGAAGGCAGCGTGTCGACGTTGTTCGATGCCAACTAGGGAACATCAGAACCAACAGCCCTCTGACGAAGCGAGCTATACAACGGATTCACCGGCTCTCTTAGAGTTAATACAAGTTCAAGCAAAGGTAATCCTCTGTTGCAAGTTAGAAAGGAATCAAAATTTATTTATTTATTTTCTTTTTCTCCTTCTCTTTGCTATTTCCCTGAGGCGTTGGCGACCTTTCACTTCTTTGAGGTTGTGCTTCTTGCTGATTCTGCTCAAACGCTCCATCGTGAGCGAGATGTGGGCTCCCCACCCATAGCAACGCACCAAAGGTTATCTGCTTTCTCACCCTGGTTGATGGCATTATTTTGCAAATTCAGAAGTTTTGCTCTCATATGCATCTCTCTTTTGCTATGTCACAAGCCAAAATTTCGCTAACCGTGCATGATTGTAGAGGATTAAAAAACTCAATAAGAAATATTTCTACCAAAACGTAATGAATTTCTATCGAAACGTAATGAATAAATATGGCGCCTAGTTTAACACTGATGAAGCCAAGTGTGCATTTTGAGGCGAATATTTCTGCCAACGGTGAACATTTTCTAACTTGGGCCGTCCATACAAAAAGGTGGTCAATGTTTTGAAACAGAGAAACGTCTACACGCCATTATTTGTGCGTGGGGTCTGTCACATAGAAAACAAGGTCCGTTCTCTGTGCTGTTACGGATCCAAAGCAAGATTCTGAAAGAGTTGAAACTTGTCTTAAAATCTTTTCCTGTCAATTTGCAGTAGAACGTTTCGGTTATGATTCATAGCACGTGATCAGCGATCCGAGAATCAGATTACCAGAATTTATTCAGGCATTATATGAAAGCTAACCGATGTGCCAAAAACCACCACACAATCCGTTCATCAGCGTGTCATTTTGCAAAGTGATGCAAAGAGCACTTATTTAGCATAAACTGTATACGATTTTTTGCCACTGACCTTCACTGTATATATTAATTAAAGGGAATATTTATGTTAAAGGGAATCATTGGATGCGTTCAATTAGGTATATGTACCATGAATTAATAGGGTTAAATGTCGTCTCTATACGGCCTTGATTGTTTGACACAGCACGCACAGTAGGGTTGCCCCGTGTATCGAACGCAAGGACTTTTTGTCAGCGTGTTTGTGTATTATAAATACACGTCTTTTGTGGACAACTTTGAAAAAAAAAATTATTTTTATTTCAGCGGTGTCTGAGAAACACATAAAATCAAAGCTTAGTTCACTATCTGTCAATTTCTGTTCAATTTTACGTGTGATCCGATGACCTTTGGAGGAAATTTTCCTCCTGGATTGTGACCCTTATAAAAGCAGTTGGGAAACCTGTCGCCATTTTGAAAACTGATACCGACACTCCTTAGCAAACTGGACCTTTTTAGGGCACTGGTTTCATCTAAATCCCCACAAGCTGGTTTTCCTATTGGTAGCTTCCACCTTTCTATTCTGCACTCCTTCCACCTTTCTATTCTCTACTCTATAGTTCATAAGTGAATTTTGGGATTATACTGACCTGCATCCCCACGCCAGATGCCCTTTCAAACGCCAATTCAACATATCTGGTCTATTCCCTGGCAACAAGCGTCGCGAAAATAATGGGGTTGACACCTCTAATTAGGTTCCTGGTTATCATCACAAAGTTTATTTCAAATGATGTTTTAAGTTTGAAATGTTGAGCGACAACGTACGAAAGCGACGGAGTCGTTCCTGCATACCAATTGCTCACCGTCTTGTTTGCGTGCGACCGATCGAAAATACCTTTGTCCAAAAATCAGTTTCTTACAGTATTGTAGATGAGAATTTGCCAATCTTTGCACAGAAAATTGAAGGTATTTTAAGTAGCGATACTGTTTTCGGGGTTATAGCAGGGTGCATTTACAGGTTGCTGACTTTCTTTGAAGCTCTGTAGTCTGCTTCACCGTGAGAAAAGAGATCTCCTTGGGGTCTAGCTAGTCTTACCACTCCAATTGAGGCAGTCGATAGTTTTTTACGAATACAACAATGCTATACTTGTACAATTTCCCAGCACATTCTGTGTGTGACGGCGGGGGAGTTTACCACAGCACTCAACATTGTTACAAAATACAATGAAATTTGCTTGGTGTTCAGTACCAAGGCCGTTGCTATTCTAGGGACTGCCCCGTAAGCCTGCGAATGAACTTTGATGTTTACTCGTTTCTTTTGTTGCGTGACCAAACTGCTCCCAGGGGAAAATCCCTCCGTAAATCTGGGTTGCTTTCTACGAAATGTCGGGTGAAGGTTGAAAATTGGGAATTTGAGTAGAAGTTGTGTTCACACTTTGTGGTAAATAATTCATGAAAATAACATTCTCCTGTATATCTGTTTCACGTATATAAAGCACGCACACGCAATGCCGCAAATGCCAATACAAACAGGTTTCCGATTAGCCATGAATTTTTCAAATGCTGTAATACGGGCGATTCACAATAGAGAATAGATCCACCAAGAGTTTGCAACGCGTTGGCCAATCATAACGCGCGAAATTAAGTTAATTTTACGACGTTGTGGGCGAAGAAGTGTCATAAATGTCGATTTATGCGGTTTTCGAGGGTTCTCCTTTTATTCGGCATCTTCACTGAGTTAAAAATAATCCCATGCAGTTGTGTTGACTGTCGCGCGTGATAAGATGACATGCAGTTTGTGTCTTGTTTAAAGTCACATAAAGGCCCTAACAAGGCACACAAAAGGCCCAATCCGCATAAATCATAGTAGTCGTGGTGTCGCCAAAGTGAGCGGTTGCTGTCCATTTTTTTTATTGCAGTGAATAGTAATTCTGCGAAAATCTGTCACGAGTTCCCAAATAAAAAGTGGGACTTTTGGACCTTCGTGACTTATATCTGACTTACATCAGTGTTTGTTTTGTGGAAATGTAAAACAGCCTGGCAATGAACTTTGCCCATTGTTACTCAAAAAAGGTCGATTTGCATGCCCACTGGCAAGATCAGCATCGACTAGGGGATCCTTTGAAAATATTTACCCCTGAACGAGAGCCTAATTGTGAGCATTTCTTTGTCAGTTGAAAAACTTAAAGTGGTTGAATAACAATCTTTAAAACTGATATTTCATTGCCAATTACAATTCGTAATGGAATAATGATTTCTTCCTCCTTGTGAAGATAAACCTTTGCCACATTCAAAAGGTGCATCATGGGAATGGATGACAATAAACAATGCTATATGGACTAACCATAGAAGCAAAACATTGATCATTAACCTAATTAAATATACTTCACATCGAGTAATCAGGTCAAAAGTAAAACCCATGGCTTGTTTGTTACCCGGTTCTTTTTGTGGCGTGAAACGTTAATTACCATTAGAAAAGCTGAACTCTAACTTTTCTTGCTCTGTAGACACCATCCCGAGCATTACCATCGGTGACGGTTTCAACTTTTCCACCACTTGACGGTGAATCGGCCGATATCGTATCGGTTGAGCAGCAGGTCAGCAAGTCGCCCCACCAGCAGCACCGGCGACCAAGATCTCGAGATCGCGTTGGACCGTCCCGACGGCACAGCGGAGACTCTCCCGACGACCAGGCTGGGCTGTCCACAAAGGCGGCAGCCCCGTTGGAAGACGGTGGGTCACAAGGTCGCAGTAGCGGAAATGCCAAGAGGCGAAGGGATAGGAAGAGAAACCGCTCTCCCGATGAGGGTCGGCACGCTCCGGAGCCTTCAGGGCCTCCAGAGGACTCGGGCTGCAGACACTGCACTGGTAAGTTGAACGTTTAGTGTTGTTCCTCAGAACTGTTTTACAGGAACATGCCAAGCTTTCCCGAGAAGCTTGGTCTGTTTAGTTTGCTAATTAATATTCATTTGTGGAAACATTTTGGATTTTTGTCCAACGCGAAGGAGCGTTACCTTTTCACGGATATAAACATACTATATTGTACTGCTAAAAGTCTGGTGCCATATTAACATTGTTACATCCCATGCTGACCCATTTATGACAAATAGGGGTCAGGATTTGCACCCTCCTAAGAGTAGCGATAACGGCAGAGCTAATTTTTAAATGTAGCTGCAATGCATGTTTCTTCGACACAATTTTTATGCATCTTTGTACTTTTCTTCAATGTATTAAAACTCTTCCACACTCCTACTTGTTTAAAAAAATTTGGTACACTTTCAAATACTCAAAATTATCCATGTTTTCCCAGACAACTGAGGGCGCTGTTGCTGTGAAGTCATATAGGGAAGACGTGGTTCAGTGCACATGTATTTCTGTTCAATTGGTGAACCCAGAATTTACTAACTGAAAACATTCTGAGAGAGAGATTGACGGTTTATTATTGCTACGTATGTACATCAACAACAATGAATCAGCAACGAAGAGAAAATTAAGTACAAGAAAAACTACAAAACGCAGTACTTTTTTGTGTACAAACGAAAGTAACAATGAGGCTTCTTCCTGAGATGACATCACAGTCTTGCTTATGAATATGGAAATACTCATCAGCATAAAACCCCCAAAAGGTATTAAAATACCCCTTGAAATAGTTAAACCGAAGTTGAGAATACGATTTACTGAGGCACAAAAGTGCATTTTACAGGTCTGTATTTAAAACATTGATTGCAGCTACCCTTTAAACTTTATGCCCTGAAATTTCAAATAGGATACGAATAGATGATATGGGACCGTTAAAGCTCATCTGCTAATTTGCATAAAGATAAAGCCACACAATACAAAAATTGTTAATTGGAGTCAGCACTGTAGCTACCCTTTCTTTCAATATGAGAATCATTACAATTAACCATGTATTATTCTGTGATGGTTATAGATGCAATATAATGACGTCATTTCAACAGATGTCATATCTGTATGCGTAAGACAGTGTTTTACAAGACATTGCCGTGATGTTGAAATTGCTAATTCACTCCTTGAATGTCCAATGTATCCCACTGAGAATGTATTCGAACATCAGTCAGCGAAAAAACAGAGGGCGCCATTTTTCGCTTAACAGATAGAATAAACCAGGCACGGGTTTAACTGGGCAAGTTTATACAGGCCTCTCAATTTCAGAAGCGCACGCTCAAAATGGAGGTCGTTCGAGACAACGTCGGCCCATTTGGCTCAGCCGTACCGTAACTCACACCCACTTAACTGGTTCGAACTGAATAGACGTCAGGGTGCTTTGTTCTCAGAATGGCCTTGCCTTTTGACACAATGAACTTTTTCATTCACGTATAAAAAAAAGCTGCTGGTGCCACTCTGAAATAAGTGCTGAGACTACAGGTGCCCAGTGTTGCCCTGTGCACGATTTTGGGGTTATCTTGTGGAAGAAAAAAAAATGAAGCGAAGGTTAAGGCATCCCAACAAAGTATCCACACGAAAAGACGACATCTTACATCAATGGAAATGATTTGCTGATGAACTCACTGTGGATTTACCATTCCAGGGAACATGTTTGGAATAGCAGCTCACATCGAGGGGAACCGGTTTGGCAACATTCCTATCTTAGACAGAGGTAAGGAGAAATGATCTAATATCATAAATTAAGTCAAGTATTTATCGGTTATGTTAATAGAGCTGCACATCAGATTTACTTTGTGACGTCATCTGTTCCCTGGTATAAAAGTCCACCAGAACGAATTCTTAGGACTTGCCATTTGATAACCACATGGAGTAGTCTTCTCAGAAAATTGGCATCGGTTTCCCATTGCCGTCGTAGACTCGTTTCAAGTAAGTTAATCTGCATGGTAAAGAATGATTATTGAGAAGTGTGATGCGGTTGCTAGGCAACAAACATCTAAATGAGCATTTTAATTTGGTTCTATTTGATTATACTCAGATTTCTCCTTAATACTCATGATATTTGCCCATTTGAAAGCAATTAACTCTTAACATGCATCGTGTTTTTAATGTACACATTAGCCTTATTTTTTCATCTCCTGGCTTGACATCATAATTTATCCTCGCTCCATATCAAGATCCGACACCCCTTGGGAATTTTAAGACTAGCTAATTCATGCATATAGTTGTACCCTTTCACAAATGTCTTACATTTGGTCATTAACCCACGACTAAAGAGTGAGCCCTGGCTCCTGGTGTGTAATGTGGCAATTTAGTGGCAGTCTCATTTTGGATTTGTCCGATATTCACAGAAAACAAAAGTCTGGTCAATGGACTATTGAAACTCAATGATCCTTTTATTAGTAGGCAACGTTTAACTTATTTGAAGTCTTCGAAAGGGCAGTTTTAACACCCGTTGATTAAATCAATGACGCACTTTCTTACAGATGGATGGATAAGTGGTCTTACAGTGTGGAGAATGTCTAGCCACACCCTTGAGACTGAGCAGTTTAAACTCAGCATTCTTGGTGGAGTCACCGTTAAGGAGAGCGGCTTGTATTACGTCTACAGTCAGGTACCTTGTTAGTTTTCGCAAAGCAGTCATTGACTAACAAGCATACAGTACATCCAAATTTGGTCAGCCTAGAACCCTGCATTTGAACAATTCACGTGGAACTTAGTTTGCTCATTACGCTGCCGTTGGCTGCTCTCTAGCGTTGGTCTCTGCCATCTCGCACAGTTATTTTCAAGCAAATGTTTCTCTCCATTCTTACTCGAGACAACCAGCAAAGTGGCTGTGCCACAGGGCCTGCTTCCAATGGTCGACTATCCATCTAACTGTCTATAGTTTTGGTTGATATCGTCGGAACTGTTATGTACACTTAACCATAGTCGTCGCTGAAACTTGTCCAGAAAGGGTACTGTCGTTTCCTGCCCCCACATACACGTCTTCAGTTTAGAAATGTGACTCTCATTCAAATGCGACTTCATACACCAGTTATCAGCGTACCCTCAAACGTTGAGGTCCACGTTTCTTGTTTCCTCTAAGGTTCTTTTCTACGACCCAAACAGCACAGTGGGCCAAAGTATCTGCATCAACGACCGCCCACGCTTCACGTGCACCAAGTCGAACATCAGCGACGAGGCCAAGCAGAGCACGTGCTTCATTGGTGGGGTGGTGCGCATGTCTGCTGAGGACCAGGTTAGAATCAAGCTGTCCATTCCTGGCCTGACCGTCGCACTTTATCCAGATACCACCTTCTTTGGGTTGTTCAGGGTTGCTTAGGGCCCTAATGTTTCTTGTTTACTTTTAATTAAGATGAAATAACACTGAAACAGAGCCCCCTCCCCTAAACACACAAACCAGAACAGAACCTCCTCAAAAACAGCAACATCAGACCAATGAAACCTCACAGTTTGTGCTTGCGCAGACCTAACTACTAGGGGGAACATTTACGTCCCGAGGATTTTGCAACAAGTGTCCCTCCCCATTAAGTACCTTGTACCCATATTTCTGTACCAAGTGCCCCTTTTCCATAATGAGAGTCATTTTTACCCCACGTGTACATATCGTGTAACAAGTACTACCGGTACCCTCCCCCCCACAAGTTCCCTTTTTCACGAGCACACTTTGTACACAGACGCCACCGAATACGCAAGGTGATTGTGAAGAGCGCCGCTTGTTCCCTGCTGTGTGCCCTGAACAGCGCCGCCCACACAAAAAAGATGTCCCCTGTCCGCTGTTCGATTTTATGGAGGTTGCATGACCGTTACAAACCCACTTCCCTTTCAGGAAGCAGGCTGAGCGAGTGACGTTTTTCACATGTTACCCCTTGCTCCAGTAAAATTAACCTTCCTTGGTTAGAGTTGGTTTCGAAAGAAAAACGACTTTGTAGTTGACTGTTGAACAGGTGAACTCGTGAGTTTGTGTCACCAATGATTTTCCTTTAGGTATTTTGTTCAGCTGTTTGTATTTATTAAATTGATGGTTACTTGAGTTATATACATCGTGGCAAACCTATTCAATACCCCTTTTATACTTTTATAGGTGTGGTCGCATTGCTTCCATTGTTAAACGTGCATTATTGCAAGTAGAAGATACCTTAACGCAACGTTCATGGTGCAAGCACCATGCAATATGTCAAGGGTCGGAAACCCTTGATTGAGACAGGGCATTTTACATACTAAAGCCTGTCACGCGTCAGAGGGAATTTCTGTACTCAAACTCAAAGCTAAAATCGAGACACTGCCACCCTTAATTTAGGCACCATGTATTCAGCATCCTTAGTTTTAGCTTTTGATAAGGCATCTTGTATTCATCATTCCTTGTATTCAGATTTTTAAGGTAAAAATTCAGACTAAGGGGCTTGGGTCATTTTGAGAAAAAAATGGAACAACATCACTGCCTTCCGCGTATCACATTTTTGGGGGTAAAATGAATGGTTAAAGAACGATTGTGCAATAATTGTATTAGCACGACTATGATCGCCTCATGAGTGTAAGACACCTCGGTCATGAGGGCAGTATTGCTTACAGGTGGTCAACCTGAGGTGTTCATGAACTTGAAGTGCGTACTTGACTTGGTCTAAACATACGCCGACGATTTAAAATAAACATATCACTTGTAAAATCAATGCTTGAATGTGGTGCGCATAATGAGTGGTGGTTGATCTGTGTATTATCATTTGGTGAATTTGTGAGTGTAAATCTTTGTTTCTCAGTAAACCACGACTTTGATCGATTTGAAAACTTAAAAGTAACGTCATGACTCATGAGTATGTCACACAAAGCTTAGAAAATGCACCAAATATTCCTTTGGGTTATGGTATGAAAGGTTCTCATAAGTTCATAGAATCCATATCTAGTTCTCTTCTAATTTTGTTTGTGTTTATTTTTCTATGGCTTATACAGATTTCGAAAAAATGTGTCAATTTTTACTTGTTGTTTGATCGGAAATAATGTCATTTTTATGCTACTTTGCTTCACTCATACGCATGAAAAACGATTTTAGTGTCACAGAACGTCAGAATGAAGGGACAGACACAAGGATATTACATTTCCAGAGTTCATTATACATAATGGGGAATGGGTCTTGCACTTGCACGGTGTTTGATGGAAAATATTGTCAAATGGAATGGAGATTCAATGCAACAAATAAACTTAGTTCTGCCATCAGCATTTTCTATATTTGCAATACTATCTATTTGTGTCAATGATTGTCAAAATGTTTAACCTGTCATCCCATTCAAGAATAGTACTCGTTCTTCCCAAAATACTGTGCTGTGCAGCCGCAACCATGGACTCGTTCGTGATTTCAAATCAAGTGATTCAAACGAAGCCTATTTAGGGCATATTCTTCTAACATATCGCCATTAGCCTATTTGAGGGGTGACGGACACAACAGGGGGGAGCTGTTTGGTTTGGGCAAAATTTGCTGTGTTTACTCCAAACTTAACCATTTTAAATAGCGCCCTCCTATAAACTGCGAAAACTGTGGTGTTAAAGAGAACAGATTTTGGTGTTATTGTGCCCGCCACGCTTCAGAAAGGCTAATGTAAACCACAATCTTTATGAACCATTTATAGTTCTTGAGTGAAAACTCACGACGCAGACACAGCATTACCCGAGTCTCTTGACGAGAGATGATAGCCCGTCATTGGATGGTAAATGTCGTCCCGGTAAAAACGCACAGATTTCTTCTGTCTCAGACTTTCTGTGCTCGCCTTTAGGATGCTGTTGACGCTAGTCCGAGCCGTCGATTCTTTAATATTTACGCTCTTTGAAGGCTGCGTCTTGGCAATGAATTTCGCGCGCCGTGCGCGTGCGGTGCTGGTTTGTTTCTTACGAGTCGCTATTTCCCTCAGATGGGGTACGAGGTTGGATTTTCCTCTTTGACTTCTCCAGCGTGATGACTTGCTCAGGGCAGTTCCCGCTTGCAGGTCCCAGTGGAAGGACTGTCTCATTTCCCTCCTGAAGTCGTCTGTCTTCAGCCGCCTTTGGATTTCCTCCACTGTGCGGCACGTCTTGCAGTTAGACACAATGTGGCCGTGTCTGCAGGTGGGGCCGGTCCGGGTGCCGGACGATGACGCCGGCTCGGCCAGTCGTGGCGAGTCCGAACTCACACTCGGGCCGTGGCCCGGATCACGCTGGATCGAGCTCATGGCTTTCTTCAGAATCCCTTCCATCCGTGAGGGTAAGGACTGAACGCTCGCGTTCACCGTAAAACCCCGATGGTAAGCAAGATCACTGTCCAGTCCTATCATACTCTGCGTTACTTCAGTGCCTGCAGTTTTTCTCTCACGCTGGTCAAGTGGTTTATGAGACACAGTATTCTGCGTCTTCTCGGTTTCCTCGATTCTTATTGGCTGCTCAATCGGATATGTGAGGCTTGGAATCTTGAGTCGTTTTAAAGGTTCGGGTGTTGTGTAAGGATTTTTGGTTGATGGCAAAGAGCCCACAGGATGCACACATTTCTTGCAATACTCCATGTCCAATCCATGTTTCAGGCAAACAGTCTTTTGACCGGCCAGTGCGTTCTCCTCCTCAACATTCCCCATGGGTTGCACTGGCTCTGGACTCGGCGTATCGAGTTCTACTCGCGGAAGGGATATGTTGATCTGGACTTTCTGCGTTGGAGCCGTTGGGATTTGTGGCACGGGTCGAGGTCTTGGGAGTATTCCAGGATGATACGCAGCGCCACCAACGCCACTACTGTCTCCTTCAGTATCGCATATTAGTGGCGTTTCTGTTAGAGTTACGGCATCCGTGGTTGCTGCTGATGCTTTGGCATTCACATCGTCGCTCCTGTAACTTATAAACCCGCCTGGTTTTTGTTTGTTGGCCTTAACTGAAGCGTCATTACTGTGCGAGTGGCGTTGGGTTTTACAGTGTTGCAAGCGGTCAAACTGATCATCTGTCCGAAGGATAACGACCCTCTTCACGGTACCGTCTTTCTGGACGATGTCCCAGAAGTCAGTCCCTTCTCCCCGCTGTTTCCCCGGTCGTTTTCCCGTCGATCTGTTCAAACCTGTCCCGGACTGCAAGATTTCGGGGAGGTATCGATCCTCCAAGGCCTTCTTGTCGGCATCGGTCAGGCTCCCGTAGAGTCTCCTCAGGTCGTCATCGCTGGTCCGTAAAGGTGACCGGCCCTTGCGCGGCTTGTAGCTCAGCGCCGCCTGGAGTCGATTACTGGTAGCGACCGTCGGCTCCCTGACTCCGCCTGCCCTGGCTGCCAGCTCCAAGTGGGCACGGCGAAGCTTCCTGGCGTGCTCCGTGTACTCCAGCATGGACCGCTGGAGTCCGCGCTGCTTCTCAATCCGCCGACTCTCCAGCATTGCCCGCTCGGTGGTCTCCCTGAGGATCGCTTTTGCCCGCGCGAGGGAGTCATAAGGGCTTGCCCCATCATCTCTGATAGCTGAAAGGTCTGTCATTATTGACTCCTAGACGAAGTAAGCTTCATTCGGCTGGGTGCCCTACATTCTTATGCGACGGGTATTCGGCGATGTACAGCTCGAGGGATTTGTCAACCAAACAAACTTGCACTCCGCTTATCTCTGTCTAATGACATTGGTCTTGACCCGAATACGATACAACAACTTCTGAAGGATAGAGTTACCAGACACGACGTTGTAAATGCCGACTTTGCTACTCCGTCCAAGGAAGACTGATGGAGGTGTAGGTGGTGACATCTCTGCCGCTATCACAAACTACCAAAATAGAAATGAAAGGAAGAGACATTGTTTTGGGTACTGAGGTATGAAAGAAATCGAGTTTGAAGAGAATTGTTTGACGACTGATAATTCACGAAGAGTTCGCTCCAATTCCTTGGCTAGAACAAGATTTCATATTCATGTAAACGTGCATTTCCCCTGAAACCTGCATGATTCAGACGGATGATACAACTCAAACAGGTTTTTAAAGCACGGATGTGTCCATTGCTTGCACTGGATATAATCATCGTGGCACTGCGTATCTGCCGCTTACACCAAGGAAGCAGCATACAATAGGGTTCGTGTTTGATGGACGAACCAGGACACGAAAGACGAACTTAGTACATGCAAGAAACATAGCAAATCAAGACTACATTAATTGGAAAAGGAAAGAATGGTGCAGAAAACCTCACCTTTATGAAAAAACAACGCAAATCATTCATTTCGAACTTCGACGCTGGTGATTTTGCTCATTTTCTTACATGGGAATATGAGACGTGAATATATTATTCAAATGGGAATTATTATTCATAATACAATGATAACTGTCAGTGGAAACATTGCCGGTGTCTAGCACTAAAGGGCCGCGAGTCATAAACAAGAAAACGATCAACAAAACCTACCATTCCTTTTATTGACAGGGTAACCGATGCGCTAGACTGCATTATCCTGGCCGCACTTTTATAATTATCTGCCTGAAACACATACACCGATGCCATTTCGATGAATAAATTATCGGCCAGTCGCGGACTGCCATTCAGGGACGAAGCCGTTTTGAAACAGCAGTACATGAGCTTCCATCCTCAACATGAACAGGTTTCGTGTTCTCTCAACGTGGTGATGACCACAGTTCCTCCGGTGGTGTACGTGCGCAGAGATATTGGCGTATCGATCCCACTATGGCTACGAGACCTGTGCCTCATTCAATGCCCAATCAATATCCATGCTCTCTTTTCGGAAACCAGTTTCTACTTAGCAGTTACATGCAAATGAGATTTGACCCACTATTAGTTGTTTCCCCGGTAGCAGACGGAAAAGACCGCCGAGGCAATAGGATGGGGTGCAGGCTACGGAGTGAAGGAGATGGCCACCAGGTGCAAAATACGAAAGAAATGGGAATCATTACAAAAGCGATGTGAGCCCCTTGTTCCACATAAACACGGGCTGGGCTCTGCACAGAATGTTTCCCCTTATCTGATGAACAGCAGAAAATACACACGTTCATGGGCTGTGTACCTAAACAGCACTCCAGAACCATACCCCCCCCCCTTCATAAAATTCGTGCCGACAAGCCCTTCCCCGACTGCTTCATGAAGGTAACATTGAGGGCGCTATTCACTGTGCAACCGCCAGAGAAGTTCGCCTGCATCTCCTTAGTATAACGTACAAGCTGTAATCACCTCAAAGATTCAGCGTCGCAAAGATTCAATGTCATAAACAAAACAAACCAAACCAAAACAAAACCAAACAAAACCAAACAAAACAAACCAAAACAAAACCAAACCAAGCCAAACCAAACCAAGCCAAACCAATATTCATGTCATAACCACCAAAATTCCGATATTTGATATAAATCTTACTAGTCCTTAAAGTGAGCAGGCCCGCCGTTGTATAAACCTTCCAGACCAAAACGCCAACTATAGAGTATTCTACTAACACGGCATGGTTTTTACTTCAATTCAGTGTCTCTCTGCCCAGTATTTGATTTCGATTGATTTGACCGAAGTCGAATATGTTTTTATCTATCTTGTCCGAAAGATGGCCGAATTTATATCGTTTCAATATGACAACAGAGGTATCTGAAGAAATCCTCGATATAGGAAAACACCCCATATTATGCGTCGTAATCAGTGTTAAAATAGAATTTGACAGCATTGAAAACGTTGAAGTGTATTATGGGAAGATGGATTTATTAGAAACCCATGAGAGATGTGTTTACATGCCAACACATTGTGTGCGACTTTCTACTCTTCAATTTAGGAAAACCTTCTGAGAGTCAGTTTGCTAGTTTGTTTCATTAAAAGTGCACTAAGTTTTCCATGCCTTTCCGAGCATCGTTGAGAGTCTCTTGCTGTTATGTCACTTGAGTTGAGGAAGACACTGTGAACCAAGAACGTGCTCAGTGAAAACATTTAGGAAATGTACGAGTCAGTTGTCATGTAACGGAATAATAAGACACCATGAAAGAAATTGATGCAATACACAATTTGGGTAAAATTTAAGCTGAACCTTCTGGCGTCACTCTAACATAAGTATGATAAACGACAAAATGAATATGAAATTAAACGGGACAGAGTAATGCATTTTCAAGGTCTGTATTATCCCTAAAAGAGCTTTTGGCTTTCGATCGGACCATCTTTTTGCTGGGGGAAGGCCGGGGTGAATTTCTCCGTCAAGAACTCAACTGTTCCATGCCTGGTATGTGTGTTATGAAATATATCTTTACTTAACAAGTACATCTGATAAGGTTTGGTTCTATCTGACTTTGGGATTAGCTGTTATCGTCATTTGAAGTTCGTGGCCTCGAGCCTGTCGGCCCACGATCATTGAGCACGCCAATCAGAGAGGTTGACGTTTTTGGCTGACCTGAAAAATGACCGTTTCTCGAGAACGGAACGTCCACTACTAATTGAATACTTCATTAAAAGAAAGGCCCAATTCCATCATTTTGGCCTATGGGAGTTAATTGATTTTCTTCGCAACTCCTTCAAAAAGATTCAATTTTTCTTTTGAACTCAAACAGGTTTTGTTGGAGTTGGGCCCTTCTTTTAGTTAGGTATTCAATTATTTATGCAATTTGGGTAAAATCGAGAGATGTAACTGGAAATTTTCCCGAGGGCTTAGCGGGGAGAAAATGCATTGTGAAAAATGCCGGGGAGGACTTCAAATTCTGCCCCGGCTCTTTTAGGGTTGAAAGTGAATTACACGGAATGTTCACTTCGAAAGGTGCACTTAAAAAAGACTCACGCATCAGTACGACCATGCACTTTTGCAGCGTCCACTTCTCTCCTTTTGAAACTTTGATACTCACAACAGAGCAAATGTGCCATTACTTTATTGGTCATAATCATTAGCAACCAGTTACTACCAGGTATACAGCGGAATGGTAATTACCCCTTCGAACAGTTGCCACTGAGTAAAAAGTTCCGCTTAACAGCGCCACCAATCTGGTTCTCGATGACCCGAATAATTGGACCACACGCCAGTGAAATCATTTTTCATTTAGTTCCCTCATGCGTCTGCCTACCCAGCACGGTTCTCATTACCAAGTGACGAAAGGAGCAGGGTAGCGCGCCTTCTCTCTCCCTCGCTTAACATTATTGACCTCTCTGCGGCACAAAGGCGATCGATGCCGGGCCGTGAAAGCCACTTATGCCCCGGCCAAGGTGTTCAGAGCTGAGTCGGTAAAAGATGCCATCCGTTACGTAAGGAAGACCCTCCACCGATACATCAATGGCATTCTCTCCGCAATCTCCGACCGGGGCTGGCAGCGGAGAGGAAGACACACACATCCAGTTAAAGCAATCAGTGCTTAAAATCTAAGTGCCCGTCTGGGCGGTGCTGTAATGACTATCGAGCGTTCGCATCTGTCGAGGCATTTCTTCAGGAGAGCTTGGCACTAGACCGTCCGTTCCCATTCATTTCCGCTACGGAGCATCTCGCACCACGCGAGGTCCAGCGCATCGCCCGTGATAACCCACCTTTCCTCGGCCCCAGAAGAGGAAAGAAGCCACGCCAACCAGTGAAACAAAACCAGGAACTAGAAATTTAGACCAAAGACCGGTTGTTTTGTAGGCCGGGATTGCAGATCAGCGAGCCCGGTTCGACCAGAATCATGGGGCGAATGACGAGACTTGCCCCCTTCACCCTTGCCGCACTGTTCCTGGCAGCAACAACATGCATCCACGGTAAGATTCAATCACATTATCATACGCACGACACCTGTGTCTTTCCATAGGGTACACTATCTTGACATTGTCTATTCGCGCGACTATAATTTGGTCGAGTAAACGGAGCGCAATCGTGCCGTATTCTACATCTTTCGGTCTGTAGGCGTTTTTCTTTGGGTAGCAGCGGGTGTTTTCTAAAACGTTCTTGTTCTATTCTTTACAATATCCAAACTAGTAATTTAGAAATACGGCATTAATGATTACGTTCAGGCAGTCTTAAGGTGTTAGCCTTAGTCACAGCAATAAACGCAAAACAAGCAGTCTGTGTTCATTTTTTGTTCTCCCCAAAACAACATTATAATGATTAGCGGAATTTAAAACCAAAACTCAACCCCCCCAAAATCATTATTGCCCAAAGCAATTTGATCATTGGCATTATCATTGCTACCTTTTTACATTAACATGTCAACATGTCTCATTTACGTTTGGTGCACTAATTCCGAATTCCACCACATGCACGTCCACTTTCCGTCCCTCACCTGAAATAAGTTTTGCCTGTGTGGCGTTTATATGTACGAAATCGACCAGCGTGCGGTGGGCACGGGCATATAATAAGTACATGGCAGGAGATTTGATTTTGATGGTTCGTTGTCGTCGCTCGCTGCACGCACGCGAATGGATAATGATGTCATCTGGCATGTCGTAGGTATCATCGCTGACCCACATTAATACGATGGCGGGGCCAGGGCCGAAGGGGATTCCCTGTGAATGACCATGTCAGGCGGACGATTATATCGGGCGTTGCGTACGCCGTCAAATGCACATTTTCAAACCGAATTCGAACTGCAGTATGAAGCAAGGATTCACAGGGATTCGTGCACGGGGCGTTTTCCCCCATAATAAAGCAGTCTAATAATTATATTCGACGAAATAATGGATGGCGCACGACAAACGGGAGACCAGTCTGATTAATGCCGATGGAATATGGCATGTGCCGAATCCCACAGCCGGTGGAGAGATGTGCGATTTCATCGGTTTCATTATGCATGCGGCATTATGCCACACCAAAAGTGCATTAGCCCTGAGAAAGATTAGCAGGCGACACGCTCACAAGAAAACGACTCTTCATTAAAGGTAGCAGTGTGATCAACGCCGTGCACGAAAAAAAACATGTCGAAACAGTTGTCCTATGTGCTTTTCGTTCATAGAATTGCCAGAACGATTACAATCTAACAAATAGGTGAAAATGTTGGCTGCAAAATATTTCGGGCTGCCTGGCGGACGCCAACAATTATTAGCCGAAATGGCAACGTCCGAGTAGATTTTACTCCTTTGTGAATTCTTCAAGAGATTGTACGCAATTAGACGGGCGGTGAGAATAGCGTCTGGAGACGAGGCTAGCTCCTAATGACGTTGACAGTGATGTCCGTGATGACGGCAAAGTTATTGAATATTTACGACCACGAAGACAATTCTGACAGTTACGGTGCTTGTTCAAACATCTCGAGTGCATAGAAACCAATTTTGATAAGATGACTGCCAAACCGGTTTTGATTAAGATCATTTCAAATCACAACGCACAGGGTTTAGTGCATGGTTTCTTGTCTATATTAACAGCTTACAAAATGTCTATTTTGATCTGCGTTGGAAATGTTGTGATTATGACCTAGCCATTGAGAGAAAACAAAGAGAAACCCCCCCTTTGAGTAACGTGTGCAAAAAATAGGATCTTCAGTTGATAGTTTTTTTTACTACAACCGACAGCAAATACACCGTATTCCGCATCGCGAAAACATACACACAACCACTGGGTTAGAAAATGTCTAAATGCTCGCTCGAGTGCGAACAAAGATGATGTACCAATATTGGTTGTAATTATGCATAAGTCAGTGGAGATCGTTTGAGCGAGGATTTCTCGGTAAGGTGGGCTATTCCCCTCAGGTGTATTCGGGTTATTTCCGCACTGACGGCAGTGACCGCTCGAAATTTATTAAAGGTGTGCGCTGTCTGTACTATAGGGGCATTCTCTTCTAAAGTGTCGCAAGGTGATTACTTTTTTAACCCCAATGAATGAGTTGTTCCGAGAAAGAAAGACAATGGTATGAGGTGCATATTTTTTTTATCCCCTGGAACGAATGAGTTCGAAGACAATCGAAGAAAGAAACGGAAGTTGTGGACATTGTTCGATTTGATAAAATCATCCTTATGAAAAAAGCCTCTAAATCTGTGAATGAAAACAAACATAGAACGAAAAGCAAGGACGCAAAATTTGAGGGAGGTAGATCTCAGCAATGCAGAACACATATTATGATACACCATAACATCTTCATGACTTATTATGAGCAAACGATGAGGGCGTGGCGGACTTTTTGAGGGGGGGGCACAAACCCTGCCACCCATTAGAATCTCCTCGCCCCCCCTCGATGCGTCACTAGTTGTAACAACACTGGCGCATCTAGGATTTGTCGTGGTGGGGGGGGGGGTCGGAATTAAACCCTCCCCCAAATAGGGCTTATGATACTCGAACCCCCGCACGGTTTACGCAACAGGAATTAGGATGTAAGGCTGATGTACAAAAGAAATATAGCAGTTTAAGAAGTAGGTGCATGTTGTATCTTCCTTTTTCAGAAAGTTAAAAACATGAAAACCTTGAGGGAAGGCCCCCCCAATGGGCGTGGTGGAGTTTTTTCTATCCACACTCTTGCTATCACAAAACAATGGATGCACAAACCGCCTGGCAAAGCTCTGTTAATTGGTAGAGGACGGTGTTTTAGATTCAAGGAAAAAGTGAAACATGATACCACTTCCCGTTATTCACAAATTGAATTTTTAAGACTAAAAAAAGGATCCGTCTTGGAAAAAAACACACTCACGAAGATTTGAAAGAGGAAAATTCTCGGCAAGAAGTTACCGAGCATGGTATTTTTTTTCAGACTGGGATTTGATCCCTTTCACGCCCCCACGTTACTGATGTTCACGCAGACTCGGCTTGTTACTTGGATTTAGTACACGTTTTGTATACCGCACACAGGCAGCGGCAAAAATGGGGCCATGCGACCGAGACTGTGGAGGAAGGACAACCTGTAACGTGACCCCCCCACCCCCAACACAGGCCGTTGACCCTCGCTGGCATAAAAGGGAGGGAGAGGAGGCTTTGAGCGGTAATAAAACAAGAAAATGCATGTCATACTATGTCGCTGAAGGATAGAAGCATACATTGTAGCGTGCAAGCGTATGATAAAGTGTTCTTTGAAAGTGGCTCTTGAGCAGTATCGAAAATTAAACCTGACATTGGCAAACATTTGTTGGCATGGATACAGTTTTTATAGTCGGAACTGTATTGCTAATGTCCCCCGACAATGACCTTTCTCGGCATACTCAGCAGCCTAATCGCGTTAATTCGTGCATGGAGACGGTCACACTTCTCTTTCCCGGAGGCTGTGCCGAAGATGTCTGGTGTTTTTCGAAACACTAGCAGTCAGTGTTTCTCTTGTCTTACATGTGCTTCTACACTTTTTATGGAGTGTTTTAATGAAATATTATATTGATACCAGATGTTCCCGTCTTGAGGTATCGTTTTTTTAGCACCATGGAGATAGCGCATCAGCCACAATCTTCGTACTTCTGAACACGGTGCAATTCGTGGTCTTTTTTTAGCTTCAATGGAAAATTAAAGCAAAAAGTTGCCCCTGCGCCAACTTTATACGTAGATGCGCTCACATTTTGCTTGAATGCTAACACTCGTCGGGATGGGTTAGCATGTGTGCAGTGCATGCGATTTGATAGGTAGACCTAGCCAACATAAACAGCCAAGACAAATTGAATCATGACATGCGTTCGGTGACTGAGTCCATAGCTTGGCAGTGTGTGCGGAATCCTGATTATGATGGTCCCCTACTGCCCCAGTTGGCAGGCCTGATTCGCCCGATCCCAGCCGATATAATTTTATAAACCATCGGGTGGTGACGATGACTGGTTCTCGCTGAACTAAAAGAATCGCTCGTGTCTTCCTACACGTTAGTGTATGCCGTATTAAACGTCCATATTTTGTGTTTGAGCAATATCATTTGCTTAGAATTTGGGATCATTCTTATACGTAGTCATTTATGGCGGTCTGGCCTGAACTTATGTAATTGCTTTTAGCAATACACGGTTGCCATGATGTGGTCCCTCGCGCTGTGCGCAAAGGAGGAGTTGAAACCCCAAAGGAAACAAAACTAGATCACCTAATCAAGATATAACACGACCAATTCATATGAAAATGGGCTGGGACGGCATTTTCACGAAGCCTGAAGGACGAACAAGCGATGGACTCCGTATGGCGAATCTTCGGTCAAAAATGACATCGTAAGAGATATCACGGGATCTGTTCTCGCCCACTGAAATACCGTAATGATAGTATAACACCGTTCGTTGGTCCATTCTCATCAGGGCAGTCTATGGAGCCTCAGGAGTACGAGCTGGTAACCCACCTGCTGCAGGATTACTTCCCGCTGGTCCGGCCCGTGGCCAACCATCGTGACGTCATCGACGTCTTCATGGACATGACTTTGGTAGAAATTGTCAATATGGTGAGCATCGCGTTACTGATATTCTGTCAACCTGACATTAATGTCGAATTTCATGTTTCTCATGGATCCGACGGGGATCTGTCCACATCTGTTGTATCTCACCCAGACCTAATTGGCTTGTTCCTAACAATCAATGTGAATGCATAAGAACTCATGACGTACACAATTGAGCTCGTTTCCAATGTTAGCACGGTCTACATGGGTTTAGTGTTTCAACAAAACGGGACAAAAATCAACGTCATAGTCAAGTAGTTCTGTATTTTGAGATAAACAGTGGTGGAATTAAAGAGACTATTATTTACGACATCGGCATGTTTTAAAACATGGACGTCTTATAACCATTGCACTACGCAAATTACAAAGTCAGTAGCCTAGCCAAGGGGGGGGGGGTGGTACAGAGTGGTAGAATGCAACAGGTTAGACATTTCATGAGTCAAATTGGAACAGCATATGAGCTATACATCAAGGCGGAGAAAATATATGTTTAAATGCAAAATCCGGACGATAAATGATAATTGAATACAGTGCCTATACTCTTACAGAATATTTAAAAACGACTGTTATCAGTTACTAGTGTCTTAATAACCAGACAGGGCCAAAAATCTGTTTTTTTCAAGAGCAACACAAAACGTGGCTACGCACCTGTGCCCAGTTGTCCAGGTTTAATATACCCAGCTTGTTTGGGGTCACCTGGCCGACTCGAATCCTGCATGCTTACCAGCGGATACAACAGACAAGCGCCGCGCCGCCAATGATGATATTTCTTGCTTTGGGGATGGGATTCGACCCAGGCAACTGACCACTGAAAGCTCAGTAGCGGAGTGAGAGTGGTTGCACCAGTAATTAGGACGTTACGGGTTTGAGTCCCTCGCGGTCGAGCTTGAAATTTTCCGTCACCAGTTTCTGAGTATACAGCTCTTCTTTACATATTGCATCGAGGGCAAAACTCACTGTTTATCTTTCTCATCTGTCAGTCGAGTTTCAAGGTCAAGGGTCGCAGTCGCTCAAGGGAAATGCTTTTCGTTTCCCACAGTGAAAATGCAGGGGCATGAACGGGCACTTTAAGATTGCACATACCTTTAAATCATGTTTTTAGAGGCATGAACTCGAAATCAGATAAAGGTTAAAGCCTCTTGAAGAAGTCTAGCTCGAAGACCCGTATGCTTGCCCAAATCAATAACGTCAAAATGTGTCTCGTCGCATTTACAACAACTTGTTAAGCTGTACGGTCTTTCTGCATCATCTGTGTCATTCCCTCCGGATGCAGCGTGTAAACCGATCGATTTTTTTCCTCTCTACGAATTGTACACCATATTTCTTCGGGTAGAAGGAATCAATGGACTATTTCGTTAGTCGGATGCTGATTTTTTTCCCTTTGGCTTCTTTGGGTGTTTATTTATTGAGCGAGAATGATATTTCAAAAGGACATATTTTGAGCAATATTAATTTCCCAGTACATTGGCATTACACACTACAAAAAGGGTGCATGAAAAATGCACCAATGCTTTCATATGTTCCTTCAGAAATATTTGCAGCTCAGGTTCTTAGTGAAATTTGTCTCCTTCAAATATGGGCGATTCACAATAGTGCGCCTCCAAGAGCCTGCAACGAGTGGGCCAACACAACGTGCGAAATCTGTCGACCTTTTCTAAACGCGCATTGGGTCGACAGATTTCGCACACTGTGATAGGTCAACGCGTCGCAAACTCTTGGAGGCGCACTATTGTGAAACGCCCGTATAAAGCGCGGCTGGTTGTGATGTAATTACGTGGCTTTTCCTTTTCTTTTTCAGGACGAGGAAAACCAGATCATGGTGACCAGCGTGAGGATGTATCAAGTACGTTTGGCATAGGTTGAAAGTTTGAAATTTGAGAAAAAAGTTAAACCATAATGCCCAATCGATTCCTGACACAGAGGCGAAAGTGACTTTCATTGTTAAGAAAAAGATTCAATAGTGTTTCGCAAGATAATTCCCAGGATCTTCAACCATTTTTGCCTGTTGGTTTAACCCTCTTCTTAAATGCCCATTTGAACCAATTACAATTTCCGACGGTAGACGTCCGACATTCAACACGCGACGGCCGACGTTTGGAGTAGCGCAGAATGATTTCATACATTATTGGTCTAATTTTAATTTTTGGTGTTGACTAACCAATATTTTGTAGATTTTTTCTCTGAGTGAATTACCCCCAAACAATTTGTTTGAATTGCTCCTTCAACCACTCAGCTCTAGCCCTCGTAAAGATGCAGCCCCATTTTGGGGGGTTAAGTCTCAACAATATCCATATTAAAGAAGACCTCAGACCTTGGAATCCGTAGCATTCACAGTCCATAATCACACAAGCATTTGACAGTTATTGGTATAGGCGATGTATTCATGGTAATTAGTGAGAAACAATGCTCTCTGCTAGGTTGTGCTTTAGCGACCCCTAATCAGAAACTTGTTTGTGACGTCATAGTAATAACCATGCAGGAACATGACTAAGGTTGTCCAGGACCTGAAACGGTTACGTCATCGGACAGCAATACGATGCTGCTCTCTCTTTTCACATTCTTGCAAGAAGGAAATATCTCTCCTGAATCGCTACATGTTAAACCAAAAATATTTGCTTGAGAGAAGACAAGAAATGTAGTCTACTCATTTGGCGACACTTTGAGCCGCCACTGAACCAACTTCAACTTTGGCCTTTCATTTGGTTGGGACAGTGACGTCACACAGTGACAAAGGTATAACTGAAGCCGGGAAAACGCCCAACCAACGGTTACTTCTTATTCCTTTCAGCAATGGAGAGATGTGAACCTTCAGTGGGACCCCAAGAACTTTTACAATATCACCCAGATCACTCTTCCGTCTACAGCTATCTGGAAACCCGACATCGTTTTATATAATAAGTAAGACTTTATTTATTTATTTAAAAAAACAGAATTCGTGGCTGGGCACGGTGTCAGCAACAGCATATTTGAAATTGTATAGGCTTGCAGAAGTTGCTTCCATTTTAAAATCAACTTACAAAAAGCTGTATTTTTATCCCTACCGGAAATGTATGAAAAGGCAAAGGTGCCATGTAAGACTCTCGCTTTGTACAGCAATGTTCTTTCCCCCTCTTGAAACGAAAAACAAAAAGTAACATAGAACTTGCTCGGACGCATTGTTTTATCCACCAGGGAGGTGGCAAATGTTGTTATTTATTTTATTTGTAGAAATTGAAAGCATTAATTTCTATGCCACGCTCATATAGCACCTAATAGTTTGTAAAGGGCAAGAATTCTTTACCGGATGAAAATCCTGGATAATCGTTTACAAAACAAAAATCCCTTTTCCTGCCCTGGATTCAAAACCTGGACACGCCACTACTAAAAAGATTTGGATTTTAGTCAGAATGAGAGACACTAAAAAACAGCCAAATGGATAAACCAAACAGAGTTCCTGAAACAAGCAGAATATAAAAGTTTGTGAAGAACATGTACAGACGTTGGACGCTGATTCAGCGTGCGAGTGTCACGGGCACGCGGCCAATAGCCTGGCTTACTTCTCAAACCAATAGTCCATCGAAAAAAAATCATGTCATGTCTTACTCCCCAAAAAGCATAAATCATCCCATCTCGGCGCCTTGTGAGTGCGGTGGGTATGATCGAAATTAGAGGCAAGGCTCTGGACCCAGCACAACTCAACAAACACACGGCCCATCAGGAATCGAACCCGGGGCCACAGTCATCTATAGTCACCTGCCCTCTGCTCAAGCAGAGCGGATGACTTACCACTAGACAATTGCGAAAAAAATAACATCCCTATTCAAAATTCCATCACCAAGTGGTACAATATTTTGAACCCACAGCGCCAACGACAACCTTGAGGGCGGTATCCGACAGACACGCGCCCTGGTCGATTCCGACGGTACGGTCACGTGGAAGACACTGGCCATTCTCATGAGCGCCTGCGAGATGAACCCGCTCTTCTTCCCCTTCGACATCCAGAACTGCTCGCTCAAGTTCGGCTCCTGGACCTTTCACGGGGATCAGATCAACCTGCAGCTGAATGTCACATCGGCTGACACCTCAATGTTCCAAGTCAATGGAGAATGGGACTTGATCGGTGAGTAAATTGGCTCCGTCGTGCGATAAACCTGGGTTGAACGTCATTAGTAAGTACATGTATTCAGTCACAGCCAGTTAACGTTGGATTTTTTTACCTGTAAAAGCTGCCAAATCTTCAACCTTGCAATTGCGCTTTGATCCAACTATAAGCACATCACAACGCGTTAATACGTCATCCACGGAAATGAAAAAAGGAACGAGTGTACGTACATGTGCTCAGTAGAATAAATAAGGAAAATTATGTGTGTTAACACGTCATCCGGTGTCAAGTGGTAAAGGGTCTCTGCAGGGTATTTCTATTTTTACTACAGCCGTTGAAAATGCACCTTTGTGTGTTCAGTAATTTGTTTTAAACATATCTGGTGCCTTTTCGGCTTATGCTAATACGAATTTCTACAATTATGAGCAAGTATTTGATGTATTTCCATATAGAGAAAACTTCAATTTTGCATTTGTTCACAAAAACTGCTGTAATTTTTGATGGTTTGTTGCTCTAAACATTTTTAACCTCGACATTAATCTTTCTCAGAAATGTTTTCAGTGAGCAAGTATTGGGTTCAAAATTTGAACAGAAAAACCTACAATGAGCTGCTCTTTCCCTGATTGAAGTCATAGAAACAGTGTCCTTTGGTGTCCAGAAAATTAAAGACACTTTCGAACCTTCAGAAAAATGTACTTTTAAATACACTTTAAGCCTCAAAGATGTTTATCTTTTAGATATAATTATGTTTAACAATGCATTATGTTTAAAACGCGAGCGAACCAGCAACACTTTGTTGTTTGGACAAGTAAAACGCCAGTGGATCCTCGTCCCTTTTACAAATTTGATGACTGTTTAGGGGGATTACCCAAGAGGCACAGTAGGCATTCTGTTTTGTTTGGGCATTCGAGGGAGGTCGGGGCCAAGGGAAAAATGAAGGCCTACAAAAATAGTAAAGTGTGCCATGAAACACAAATACCTACGCAATTTAGCGTTTCTACATGAATTTTGATTGAAGTTTAGCTTTAATGAAGCTACTGCATAGCTTTATTCAGCTTGTAGCATGTAAATGCAGAATGAGGCTCCAGCGCTAACCAATCATAGGAAATTGGTGGTGATGCCTACAGGTCAGAGTATAGGGTCTACAGATCTCTGGCGCCTGAGGCCTATGGAACTCTTCATTAAAGCCTGCTCTGAATTCCGATTCCCAGATAACTGCTGTGTTGGTTGTTAGTTGTGTGTTAGTTCTGTCCCCAGACAAGGCACCTGACCTTTCTGTTGTATTTTGATACTACTGAATCCTTTCAATACTTCGTACCCTTTAACTTAATGATAAAACTTTACACACATGAGGCAAACTCCAATGGTATCAAGAACGCTGTTAATGTTAGAACATGATTGAGTTTAACAATATAGCGAATGACCACGCGGTTTGTGTGCTTTTCTAGAAGATGAGAGTTAAGGCCATTGTTTGTTTTGAATGTTTGGATGCCTGTTGCAAATTGATTTTGATTCAACAGTGGAAATTATGGATGACTCTCATCTGGAATTCTTGGTATACAAATATAACATGGTTTATAGTTAGGGTAGATAGTTAAAGCTACTTCCAAGCCTAAGGGGGTGCTGAACAAGGGCTCTACGAGGTACATGTAGTTGAAATTAGGTAAACTAAATTCCCCTCGTGAAGCACGTGATGATGAATGGACCACTGAGCCTAATTCGGCTCTTGTCATGAATGTGTATGTTATGGTAATTCAAAATATCTGCTGCCTGCCCATCCATTGTCTCTTCCACCTAGGAATGCCTGCCACCCGCGAGGTCAGCTACTACCCGTGCTGTCCCGAGCACGCCTACCCGATCGTCACCTTCTACGTGCTACTGGAACGCCGCTCCCTGTTCTACATGGTCAACCTGGTGCTGCCCTGCGTGCTGATCGCCTCCATTGTGCTGTTGGGCTTTTTCCTGCCGTCCGACGCGGGCGAGAAGATCACGCTGACCATCACCATCCTGCTGGCGTTGACAGTGTTCTTGCTGCTGGTGTCCGAGACTATCCCGCCGACGTCCGAGGTCATTCCCCTGATCGGTGAGTGGGGAATTCGAGCACTGAACAGGGTCAAACTGCAAATACACATACCCCGGAATTGGGACCCAGTTCAGGGGGATAATATTAATTTCTTTTGGTCGACCGTTTTGTTTGTTGACAGTAATCCTTACTATAAAAGTGGGATTAACAAAATCTAATTTCGTGCAGTTGCAGCTGTCAAGCTCCCTTGGTAAGATTTGTTTTAGCTTGCATCAGAGGGGAAAAAGGAACTCCTGTTTAATATTCCAGTTAGTTTAACACCCTGATGGAAATTAGACATTTTGCGAGCGAAAAATGGAGGTCGTCTCTGACGACGTGACTCTCATTTTGTCAAGTTGGGTAACATGTGGTTTGAAAAATGGCCCTTAGCCTATCTGGGAAGGATTATGGAACTGAAAACGAAATTATTAGACATTTATGATATCTCCGTCTTCTAATAGTTTCCCTTCAATCTGGATGAAAAACTGGATGAAAAATTGGTTGAGAAAACAAAATCTGCCTCGGAATTCAAGTCGACACTTTCCAAAGAATGTTTTTATTCCATTTTCCATTTGAAGGGCAATTCTACGCCTCTATCATCGTGTTGGTCGGCATATGTGCTGCCCTCACTGTTATTGTTTTAAGCATCCATCATCGGGGGGATAGCACGCACGTCCCCCGCTGGGTCCACACTCTCTTCCTGGTCAAGCTGGCCACCTTGCTCCGAGTCCGCAACCAGATCTCACAATCGTCCATGGAGTTGGAACTGCACGGGCCGTCCGAGGCGGACGTGAGTAGTGTGTCGCCGCGAGGGGGCGTCCTCAACCCGATCTTTGAAGGGGACGACGGCATCGAGGAGCAACACCAGCAGCAGGACGACGGTGCCGAGCGTAGACGGAGCCTCGCGGAGAAAGAAGGATCGGCGATGGAGCGACAGCTCTCCACGGGGGGAGACAGCAGTATCATCGAGCAATACATCACGTCCATTTCCAAGAACGTTTCGTATTTTGTGCGGCAAGGGCGCGAAGAGGACAAGAGCCAGAAGATTGCCACAGAGTGGCAGGAGGTCGCCATGGTGCTGGATCGGCTATTCATGGTCGTCTTCACGTTTCTCATCGCGTTGGTGGCTCTGTCCACACTGCTTGCTGCTGCTTTGCGGGTTCCTCTATTGTAGCGGGAAAAGGTCTTCCTTCACCCCATAAACTTGTCTTTCTTCATGGTGCCCTTTTCATTTTGAGACAATTTGCAGAACGTAATAGTAATTGCACGCTGACAAAAACAGAGAAGTTTATTTCAATATGTAGCCGTTATCCGGAGGTCCTACACTATCAGACGAGATGTCATACTACGACTCAAAGCAGGCTCGCGCTGCCCCGTCTCAGCTCATTCTCATTTGCTGACGCAACTGACGAAAAATTCCCGCCTTTTTTCCAGACGCTGTCAATCTGTATTTGATAAATACTTCTCGTTAACATTATACACTGACTTAACCCGTCCTGGTTTGGCAGTACGTTCCTTTTTTCAGTGGCAGGTACATGTATACATGTTAAGTACTGTACTATGCTTGACGTTGATGTAGTCTTTTTCATACACTTGTTAGCAGTTGACTGCATTTGTGAGTGTCGAATCATTTTCGTTTGATTGATTGTTAGATGTAGGGGCAGGTCCTCGCTCATTGGCTTTTCCCGTAATTAAAAATTAATATGAGCAGTACTGAATAACGATAATTTAATGATATTTTAATCACAGTTAGCTTACCATTATGTTACAGGATATTAACCCAAATAATATTAGTTATTGTTCAAAATACAGAAACACTGCTCGCATGAGAGAAAACAGCTCCCGTTGAGCTGGTAACGGCTGACTACTTTTAATAACAAACTAATGTGAAGGTAGAACCGTGCAAGGTCAGCATTCCTGCGCTCGCTGGAGGGCCACCGCAAAATCTACCCGACGGTGCTCAATCGAGGTAATCGTCATCACGCGCTCGGAGACGATGGGTGCAAGCGAACGCCACTTATAGAAAAGGTGCAGTTGGATAGCTGCAGATCAAGGTGGTGGGAGATCCAACGAAAATATTCTCAGGAGACACAACGTGACGTTGCAGGTGTAAGAACGATGTCACAGACGCACCAGAAATGGATCAATTTCTGCTTGTAAATGAACTTGACGAAAATTGATGGGGGAGGGGGTTAAAAGTTGAACCACTGTGATACACTTAAACACTGTCTTCAGATTGTAAGAGCATGGAAATTTGCCTATACAACTAAACAGTCTTCAAAGATGTACGTTGCATCCGTTTTAAAGTGTTTAGCTATACATCATAGATCAATTATTTAAATATTTATTATGTAAAAAATTACTCAAGTGTATAAAAATATGTGTTTTCTGTATGTTCGTTTGTTTGTTTTACGTGAACGTTGTTGACTGTCATTCTGTTTTATCGAACCTATATCTTTTTATTGTATCAATGTAAAGAAAAATTATCTAACTGTTGTTATATATGTACTTTGTGAAATGTTTACAGAGATTATATGAAAAACTAAATATGAAGAGTTTGAAATTAATGTTGAGTATTGTGTGATTACAAAGGAGTTGAGAAAAGGATCAGGACTTTCTTCAACCTAACCCCCCCCCCCAAAAAAAAAAACCCAGATATCTGAGAACCGACACCAGGTTAGCAACACATGATAGAGGGACGGGCGGTATGGAGTTCAACAGTGTCTTTTATTATTCACCTTGATTTTGTTCGTAGTTTAACTAATTCTGGTGTAGGGAAACCGCGGGGTCCCTGGGTGCCTTCAGGTTTGTGTTGGAAGTCGGGTTGTCAATGCTACCCCGCGCGCCCCAACTAAATATTACAGTCCGATAAGAAACAACTACAACAGCGCGCGTATGCCAAAATTTAGATGACAAGTCTCTTTGTCGCGGGCGAGCTGATTTGATCTTAGTCGATCCATGATACCCACTTAATATTTCTGTTGTCGGATATGACGGCCACGACAAGAGGGCGCTGTGCATTCGCGTTTTATACACACCCATTTTCAATGTTTGACACCAAACAACACTAAGTGGTTGAGAATGCATCAAAAACCTCAATTCCAGAGAAAAAATGCAAACAAATTGTCTAATGGCTGTATATGGGGAGAAAATGCTCAAGGTCAGCCAATAGCAAATGTGCACAAACTACTGCAGACTGCCTATATACACTAACTAGTGCAAATACAACGTGCAATAAGCAGCTGAAAATTACACTCTTCACATGAGCAGCTTCAACTACCTGTTCCTATGGGGAGGGTTACCCAGGCTAGAACAATGCCAACTGCTCAGGCCAAGTGCACGAAAGACATAAAACTTTGGCCATGCTTTGACATGAAAGCTCACCGTAGACATTACTCCAGTTGACAGGCTCCAGCCCAGGAGTTGAAAACATGAGCCCAAAATAGGCCACTTCCAACACAAGAGTGGAATCAATCACCAAAGAGAGTGTTTCGAGAAATTTGAGTCACCTGTGCATATCCACGGCTTGGTCAGTTACATTGGTCCCCATCTGGCTGTATACTTGACCATCTGAAAACCGAACTGCCCCCCCCACGGTTGGGGTTGGCCTCTGTTAGGGTTAGCCTCCATAAGGGTTAACCTCCGCTAGGGTTAAGCTATGTTAGGGTTGGAATCCAGCTTCTAATCAAAGAATTTCTCGAAACCGACACACAAACAAAATGTTCCACGTGTACATTTACATGAAAATGTATAATTTTCATGCAATTACCTTGATATTTATTGTGTCCGACAATCATGAATCCAGTATTTCTGATGTCTCATAATCCATAAAACTGTTATTCGTGGCTTGTTGTGGTCAACGTAAACAAGAGGGATGATTTTTAAACCCAGCCGCCACTACTGCCCGACGCCGCCACCTTTCAATTTTCGGGGGGGGGGTTGACCCTAGAATTTTGGAGAAATTTTCACCAGAAGCAGACCGCCCCTAAAATGCAAAAAATTGTCCCTGTCCAGAAAAGTAGCCATTTTGAAAAACCCTCCCTCAGCAAAATGGCTCAAATAGTGCCACTTTTAAACCCGATTGCATCCAAATTGCTCAGAATTGGAAGCCCTGAGTCCGGCCCAGAGGTCCAGTCTCATATTTCATTCATTCCTCAGTTCCATGC